ACTCTAGATGGGGTGGCATGTTGCAGGTACAACTGGGCGCCCAGCTGGGTGTCACAGAAAGCAAGCACCCAGACCTGGGGGTGGCCAGAAGGCGCAGGCCAGTGAACAACTAGAAATCCTTCAGAATGAAATGCAAGCGCCCACGTAGTCGAGCGCACTCAGTGTCGGGAGGTTAGGAGGACACTGTGTCCTCGGACCTGAGGTTGCCTGGAAATCCTGGCACGTTTGCCACCTGGAAGATGGGTGCTGCGTGGTCAGGAAGACAGGCATGAAGAAGCGTGGTCCGTGGACTCGGCCGAGCCTGGGTGGAGTTTGGAGCCTGGTGAGGGCGGGGCGGGGCGGGGGGCAGGGCTGGCTCCATCCCCAACCCTCGAGGTGGGCGGGGCCAGGAATCCCAGACTCCGGAATCGGCGTTTGGCTAGTGAACGCGCCTGTTCCAGCGTCTCCGCGGCTCCGACAGGGACGGTCCTGGCTCCTGTGTGCTCGACCCGGCAGGGCGCCAGAGCTGCCGCTCATTATGCCAGTTCATGTTTTCATCCCAATTTCTGTGCGGGGCCCTGAGTGCCAGGTGGGCACCTGTGACCTCAGGTGCAGGGCGCCGTGCAGCGCAGGTGCAGAGGCCGCGGAGAGGCCGCTCCTCCGGCCCCGGTGCCCGGCAGAGGCGACGGTCACAAGCTAGGAACTTCTCTCGTTTCACATTTTGGAGGGCTTTTTCTGAGGCGGAGAGGCTTAATTATTAACTTAAATAATTATCAGTGAAAAGTTATGTTATAAAAAGCCATTACAGATACATAATTATATATACTTACTGTGAGCGATTACGTGTAATTATATAGGTAATCATATAATAATTAAGATTAGAGGAAGTTAATTATAGAAGCACCATCTTCCTTCTTGGCACCCCTCGCATCTGCGCGGAGGTGGGAGGCTGGCTGCTGTCGGCACGTGTTGGCCGGTGGCTCCAATCAGCAGTCAGACTCCTAGGCTTTGCCGCGGCAGCTGTGCCTCCCTGCCCCATGGGAACTCTCTGGGCACCTCTGGGCGGGGGGGTGGGGGGGGGGAGCGGGGAGCGCGCAGGGAGAAGAGAAGCCGGCATGCTGTCAGGCTGGGAGGGTCTGCCTGCCGGGCCATGGAGAAGTCGTGGCTGTGGTCTGAGAACTTTCTGGGGCTCTCCAGACCAGAATGGAGCCCCAGCTTCACCTCATCTGTGCCTGGAGAGACGCCAAGGCTGAGGACAGGGAACGGTAGGTTTAGGGGTGACAGGCAGGAGCTGCCCGCTGTGGACACTCAGCCCGGAGCGTCTCTCCTTTCTTTCCCAGCTGTTCTGTGTTCCTTAATCATTTCTTTGGCTGTCCCAGCTACGTTAGCAGCAGTGGCGGCCCTGGGGCTGCGCCAGGCATGTGTCCGACACGTGGAACACGCTGCGTGCTGACTCTTCACAGCAGGCCTTGGAGTTGAGTCTGTGCCACACAGAGAATGACCTGACTGCAGGGCTACCTGTGATCTCCCTTTATCTCCCTCTCCGTCCCCAAAAGCTCCCCCCACACACCCATGGTTTTTATGTCCCTTGGAGAGCCTGTGGGCGTGGGTGTCCCCCAGGCTGGGGTCGAGTCCCAGCCGCCGCTGCCCAGCTGTGGGAGCTCGGCCAGCCGCCCTGCCTCGGTGTGCCCTTGTCATCTGTAAGATGGAGATGAGATGGCCGCTCCCCCAGGACGGACGCGGGGCACTAACTCAGTAAGTGCCTGACGTTACCAGTTTCCTCCTCTCCCTCCTCCTTCACTGATGCGGGCCTCTCCCCGACCTCTCCTTTGTTCCCTGCTGCACAGCAGCAGCCGTAACCAAGATGAGCCTCGGCTTCAGCCTTGGTCCTCAGTGCTGCCTGGGCGAGGCCCTTCTACCGCCCCGAAGGCAGCAGATGGGGATTTCGCAGTGAAGGTCCCTTCTTGGGCCACACGCCCTCCCTGGCCTTGTCCTAACTGGAAATTATCCCCAAGGGTCCCCACATGGAGTGTGCAAAGCAGGCAGCAGCAGCTGGCCAGAGCCAGGTGTGGCAGGGGCACAGAGAAGCCATCGTCCCGGCTGTCGCTGGTCTCGGCCTCCCCTCCCCCTGGGAGCAGCTGTGGGGAGCATGAGACGGCAGGACCTGGCAAACGGAGCCTTTTAAAATGGGACAAAAGGTTTCAGGGTTGCTGTACGACACTGGAGAAACCTCGGCCACAAGTCCAGGCTGTTAGGAAGGGCTCACTGCACACCTCTGGGGACACCCGCAGCCCTTCACCCCAGGGGCCTGGGGTCAGGGTCCTGGTTGGGGCCGAAGTAGCTGGAGGGAACTGACAAACTAGGTACCTGCGCTGTGTGGGAGGGGACAGGGCAGCACCGGTTTCTTCTGGCTGACAGTTGCCAGATCAGAGGCTGGGCTGGGCAGACCCGAGGGCGGGCAGGCTCCACCTCCTTGTGAAACAGAGATGTGGCCTCTGTGAGGGAAGAGGGGCAGCTGCTCCCTCGCTCCGGGGCCTCATGCCTCTGCTGCATCCTCTGCTTTGAACAAACACCGATGTGTCCACTTAGATTTGCTCTGGGGTTGGAATAAAGTGGCATGGGCACAGGGCAGGGGGGGCAGGAAGTGGGGGCAGGGCGTGGTGCATAAAACACAGGGCATCAGCCCTGTCTACCTTTATGGTCACTTGGGAATGTTCCTAAGGACAGGGACGGACTTCGAGAGGTGGCTGAAGCGAGAACCTGGTTGACCTGTGAACCCACGCAGCCTTGTGGGTGTCACCTCACCCAGCCAGTGAGGCGAGGAAGCAGGAGGGGTCCTGGGACCGCAGGGCATGGGGCTGGGCCACCGCAGCATCTGCCAGGCCCTGGAGACCCGCAGCCCTGCTGTCACCGCGCAGCTCACTCGGGGACCAGAGAAGAGGGTGGTGAGCCTGACTTCAGGCAGTGTGTGCGCTCAGTGGGGGAGGGGCGGCGGGCGGGGGCAGGTGCCCCCCGCCCCCCCGCCTGGCTCAGGGAACTAGGTCCCTCACCGCCACCAGCGGAATCTGACTCTAAGACAAAGACCGGAACGTGCCCGCAGGCAGGCTGGGGAGAGTGGAAGGGGGGGCCCCGGCCCCCCCATCCTCTGCAGCCATCTCGCATCCCGGGTGGGCCCAGTGCCCACTCCCTCCCCAGAGAGGCCGATGGCAGGCAGCAGGCCCCACTCGGCCCCGCCTCGGGCTCCTGGACCAGGCAGGGCCCAGCAGATCAATACTGGCCCCACTCAAAGGTCAGCAGTCACAGGTGACCAGAGAGGGAGCCTGTGGAGTTGCCTGAATTCTCCAGGGAGGGAGGCGGTCAGGGACCCCCCCGCTCCGTGGGTGCTGTTCTCCTCCCCTTTGCCCTTTCTCTTTCATGGACGTTAGGACCCCCAGGAGCCTCCCGGGGTGACACAGCCTCAGGGTGGCAACCTCCTTGGCTCCCCAAATAATCACAGCGCACAGTAGGGCCAGGCGGGGGGCCGGAGCACAGAGGGCAGCATGGGCTCCGCGTCTGGGGTCCGTTACCCGGAAGCCCCTGACCTTGAGGCAGTCACGTCCTGCCGCTTCCTGAAGTGGCCTTCCGGGGCGGGGACCTGCGGGACGCGGGGGTGCTCCAGCCTCCCGAACATCGGTCTTTGTTCCGCGACTTGCTGCTTCTAGGTCCCTCCACGGTCACCGCTTGTGCGACAGCTGACCTGGGGCTTAGTACTTTCTCAGCTCCAAGAGACAGGTAGGCACTGTCATTGTCAAGCACAGGCGGTGTTTTGATTTGCTTTAATGATACTGACAGTTACCGAGGGCCTGCATTTGTTGGGAACTTGCTATGTGCTATGCACTTTAATTCTCATAGAGCTCTATGAGGCAAACTCGTTCTAAAGATTAGGACACTGGGCACTTTCAGGTTCACTTGCCCAAAGTCTCACAGCATTCACTGCCTAGAAACAAGACTGTCATGCCTTCTAGAGAGTTCTGGCACTCCGGTCCGAAAACAGCAGTCTCCAGCCTAAAGGAGAAGGGTGTACAGAGGCAGCCACTCAAGCCTTTAAGACATAAGGCTTGGCCAGACTTAGGCCCACACGTGCCTGTGTCTGTGCGTGTGTGTTGAGGGTGTGCTGAGTGAGTGAGCCCTTTGCTACGTGTGCACCCCACTAGCCAGTGATAAAAAAGGGGGACAACCTTCGCAGAGGACTCACACCCAGCCATCCATCTGCTGAACACTTCCAGCTCAATTCGTTTCAAAGCTGCTCCGTGCCCGTAGTTTTGATCACTAACATTTGCTCAACTGTTTTCCCGGACAATTCCTACACACAGCCTCTTCCAGAGGCTGCCTGGTTGGGAATTAATTGTCCACTGGCTAAAGTCAAATCCGTCGTTATGGCCTGAAAAAAAGCCTTTTCTATTTTCACCAGCTCCTAGAAGGACTATTTTCCTGCTTGTGTGCAGGGCCATGGCGTAACGGCTCCAACTGGCCCTCACCCCTCAGGTGCTGGGGCTTCTGCCTCCTCACAGCACAGCTTCTAGTTATTTCTGGTGCACCCAAGTGTTGCAAGCAGGGGAGAAAAATTGGGTGCTCAGTGTTCTCTGACGGATTCCTAAGTACCCCAATCAGTCACTTCCCGGGATATTAAGAATTCCATACGTCGCCGCACACCGCCTCTCTGCGCTCTGTGAGCGCAGGCCGTGGATTCCTGATGGATCCGGCTTCCTGATTGATTTTTCCCCGAGGCCCTTCATCAGGGAATGCAAGTCACTCGCCTTCTCACAGCTCCTCTCCTTCCCTGCGACTGCAGTGGAGCCGCTCTTGTTTCCCCTTCCGCCTCCTGACGCTTTCTGGGACTGGGGACTGGGCCGGACCGATCCAGAGCTTCACCCCTCGGCGGCACCCCGTGCCCGGCCTTGCTCCCCGCGCGGCCTGGCAGAGCGAGCCCGGGTCGCGGAGGGCGCGTGGAATAAACGCGTGTCTGCTGTGGTCTGTTGCAGAGCTGGTCATGCTGCTGGAGTGGTGGTCGGGCACGGAGTGCATCATCCACACGGACCCCCAGGCCTACCCCAAGTTTGGGAAGGAAAACGCCATTGTGGTTCTGAACCACAAGTTTGAGATTGACTTTCTCTGCGGTTGGAGCCTGGCCGAACGCTTCGGGGTTTTGGGGGTAAGTTGGACGCCCCCCTCACCCTCCCGACACCTTTCTCTTGTTCACGCCGTAACATGTCTTTCGCTCTCGGTCATTCAGAATTTGCCGAAGCTTTAACAGAGTTCCTATTTGCCCAAATGTTTTTAACCAGGTGTTTTTTCCTACCAGCCTGGAATGAAGGTAAGCCTCTCCCTAAGGACAGCAATAATTTCTATCCAGTCAGCAATGGCAGTTGGTCTGGATCTAGGCATTTTACACACAGCCCTCTCGTTTACTCTTTACAGAAACATTTAGGAGCAGGTGGTGCACACCCTACCTTTTATTTTTTATTTTTATACCTCACCTGAGGACATGTTTATTAATTTTGAGAGAGAGAGAGAAAAATAAAAACATTGACGTGAGAGAGACGTATTGGTCCCTTGCCTCCCATACGCACCCTGGCTGGGGATTGAACCCGCAACCTTTTGGTGGAGGGGACAACACTCCAACCGGCTGAACCGCTCGGCCAGGGCGCACCCTAGCTTTTTGAAAAGCTAAGGTTAAACCATCTGCCCCGGCTCCCACAGCTGTTCAGCAGATTTGGGTTTGAACCCATCGTGTCTGACGCCGCTTCATATGCTTGTCCCTGCGCTCTGGTTCGCTGGCCAGCAGGTAGCACTCGCCCCTGAATGTTCATTTTTGGGGTTTTGGAAAGTCGGTTCCCTAAGCGAGAGAGTCGGAACGGCAGAATCCGGAATGAATAGGCAGTTCTGTTCCCCTCCCCCAAGTTTGGCTTCTCCCTGCCTGTGGGGCCGGGCCTCCTGCGTGGACTTAGGTCGCCTTCGGCTTGTTAGTGGCAGAGCCCGGGTTGGGTAACCGAACCGAGGCGGCCGCGGGGTTGGGTGTGCCAGCAGGAGTCACACGCGGCTTGGCCGGGGGCTCCGAGACCCTGCGACTCTAGGTGCCTGAGCGCGGGCGGCCCTTCCCCACAGACCGATCGGAGGGCTGCTCACATCGCACTTGCCTTGGTGGCTGCTGTAGACAAAATCAGAGCGTTCAGAGTGGAGGAAACTGAAGGCCTGGTGAGCACACGGTGAGGAGCCCGTGGGCCGGGCCCCGCAAAGGTCTTGGTGTGTCTGGCTCCTGAGGTGCCTGAGAGCCTCGGGGTCGGCAGCAGAACCTTGGCTGAGAGGGTGGGGAGCGAAATTACCCTTGGGACACATTGCATATGTGCTTCTCACATGTATTTTTTTCAGTTTGGAGCAACAGGAGAGAGGACATTGTCAACAAAACACATCCCATCAACGTCTGTTGGACAAATGATGGTCGTCATCAGGCAGTTAAACCACCGAAAGGCCTCTGAGGCCTTCAGTAGTTTCCAGGAGATGCAGCAGCGCCTTTGGTCGCTGCTGCCGCCTCACGGCCTCTAGGCCCCCGGATTGCCTGTGGGTGGTGGCCGTGCAGGAAGGACTTCTAGGGGAGGCCCGGCCTCCTGCCCGGTGTCCCGTTGTTTCTGTCGTTCCAGGCCTGCCTTGGCGTCTGTGTGCGCGGGTGTGCACTGGTGCTTTCCCGGAGCAGAGCCAAACGTGCCGGAGTCTGCCTATCTCTGTGCCACAGCCTTAGTGCCCTAAAGGAATACCATGTTGATAGGATTTTGTTTCTTACTCTTAGAAACCAAAGGAAAGAACCGAAGGCCTAGGGCCACGTGTGAAAGGGGCGTGGCCAGGCCCGGTACCTGGAGCCTGTCCTTAGGAGATGAGGACTCCACCCAGCGTGACACAGGCAGGCTGTAGCCCTTTGGCCAGGATGACACATCCCCCCTGTTCACTGGAACTGGGGAGCTCCTGAAAACCACCAAGACTATGGGGAGGGTGGAGAGGGGCCGCACATGACCACCGTCCCCTGTCCCCGAGCCCTGGACAAACAGCCGGGCTGCGCCTGCACAAATTCTGTTGAAGCAAAGTGCAGGGTGGCGGCAGGAGTCACCAGGGGAGGCGGAGGGAGGGCGTGGGGACCTTGCGGTGGGTGGGCCCTCCCCCCACCCCCCCGCTCCCCGGCAGCTCAGGGATGCTGTCTGACCTAGGGGCGTGCCTCTCCCAGGAGCCGGGGGCTGGCCGGAGGGTGTGGCCGCTTTCCAGAGTGACCAAGGCAGCCTGCTCTTCTTGAAAGGCTTGGGGAGGGCATCGTGTTATCTTCACTGTTCAGCAGCACCTTCTGTGTCAAACGACCTTCACACAAGTCACCTGAATCATCTCCTGATAAAAATAACGCGTGACGTGGAGGTCCCTCCACGGCCAGGAGAGCTTGCTCTTAGAAAGGAGCCGGAAGGCAGGCTCCTGACTGGGCATTTTCCTTCTTCACATGTCACAGCCCAAGAGGAAGTGCGTTTACGCTGGAGCAAGTGAAATTTGCAGACGTTCCCAGGGGTGGGGAATGGGGGTGACCAACCTGCAACCCGCGGTGCAGCCCGGCACAGAATCATAAATTTATTTAAAACATGATGAGATTTTTTTGCGTGTGATGATGTGTTGCAGTGTAAACGTGTGGCCCAAGCCAACTCTTCTTCTTCCAGCGTGGCCCAGAGGTGCCAAAAGGTGGGACACCTATGAGCATCCGAGGGCCCGCGTGGCCCCCGCAGGCTCCGGCCGCTTCGGCCCTGTCCGGGCTGAGGGGGGCGCGAGGGCAGGGAGGGCTGCACGGCCAAGCGGACCGGCCCTCGCGTGTGCAGACGAAGGCTGCTGGTGCTGCGGGCGCTGTTCACCTATCTTCCCACCCCAGGAACGTGGGCGTGCGGCTTTTTTGCTTTAGATTGCGTTTGCCGGTCTTTGGGTGGCGCCCGGCCAGGGGTGCACTCCAGGACAGCCACTGATTTTGTAGGTGTTGTCTGCTGGAGGGTGTGGCTTGGTTACCCCGAGGCCCCCTGGGCTGCCTCCGTCAGCTCTTTCGGGAGGACACACAGAGGCACTCTGGGCGGCAGCAGGACAAGCCCCAAGTGTTGGTCTGGACCTGGGCACAGCTCGGCCGGGGGTCTCATCCCAGGCTCGTGGTGCAGCGGGGGAGGGGCTCTGCCTCTGAGCCGCAGGCTCGCGGACGCTGCGTCTGTTCCCGGGCCTGTTCCCTCCCCAGGGCCTCTCCTCAGGGCTCCCCCTGTCCCGGTGCCTGGCCTGGCTTCCCCCAGGGCGAGCAGTATGAGAGAGGAGGAGGCAGAGGAACCTTCCAGAAGGTTAGGACGTGGGATGGCCTAGAAGAATGGGTATGACTTCAGGAAGGTGAGAGATCGCGCGACCTGATGAGGGTGACCTAAAAGGGACAACAGGAGGCAAGGGACGGGGCGGGAAGTGCCAGGTAGGCACCGAAAGGGAGACCATGGCCGTCCGTGAGGGCGTGGCCAGTTGCCAGGGTCCTGGGCTGTGCTGACGGTTCTTCCCCACGGGCGTCTGGCCACGTGGACCTTCTCTGGCCCTCGTCCCTCCTCCCCGTCCCCTGCACTTGCACCGTCTCGGTTTGCTGGCCGCCAGCTCTGAGTCGCAGAGCTGCAGCGGGGTGGCCTGGGACTTGCTGAAGCAAGGCAGGCAGAGGGGCTGGGCCTCCGTCCTGCCGGGTGCCGCTGTCCTCGCCTGCGCGGAGGCGGTGGCCCGTGTGGCTGTTGGGAGAGCCAGCGATGTCCCGAGACCCCAGAACATCGCTCAGGAGCCGAAACGACGGCTGAGCCGTAGCTGCTGGTGTTGGCATTTGGTGTGGCTGGGACGCTCCTGCTCGTTCGCGCCGGATGCGGCTCTTCCCCGGGGAAGATCCCGCGGAGCTGACAACCAGCATTTCCTAAAGTGGGATTGTCCGGAGATCGGTTTTCTAACTACAGGTTTCCCATAGGGAAAAATGCCAGGGCCGATGGGTATCTAAGGGCCACACCCTCCATCCGTTGTAACATCCCCCCAAATTGTAGGGTTCTTGTATTTTGTTTTTGAACATCTAAAACTTAGCGAAAGACTTAACACTCAGAGAGGCGAACCTATGGGTTCTACGCTCAGATACCAAAAGCCATTTTTCCCGCTCTACTGACTGCAGAACAGTTCACTGACCGAGGCTGGCAGGGAGAGGCGGATGCGTGGGAAAAACAAACCCCAACAAAACAATGGCCTAGGTGTGTACTTGAACCCTGTCTCCCGGGTTTACGCGCTTTGTGACCCTCTTCTGACCCTCGGTTCATAATTCCCATCTCATGGTGTTGCAAGGGTTTAATGAGTATATGGGGCACATGAACATATAAGTAAAACGCCTAGTGCAAAGCAGGTGCGCAATAAGTACTCGATTCTTTGATGCTGTAGGACTAGTTTCCCTTCATCTGTGTTCCCTCACAATCGGATAAGGCGTGGACGAGGACCTGATAAGGCTGCCCTGGCCCTGGGTCCCCGCCATTTTCACGCAAGGCGCACCGCCACCACATCGCCTTTATCACGGCTGCGTCACATGCGCCTGTCAGATTCTCTGGCCAAGGAGCCACGAGAAGTTTCTGGGTGTGGAGTGCTTTGTGGTTCTTTCCCATGGATACACTTGCAGCTGCGCTTCTGGCGGCCGTCGGGGCGACTTTGCGGCAAGCTCCCCTCGGTGGCCACGTGGGTGGGTGGGGACTGTGCCCTCCGCCCTGTCCCCTCCCTCACCCTCACCCTCACCGAGCAGCTCTCTCCCCCAGGCTCCCCAATACCCTGCGAGTGGCGGGGCGCACGCCTTGCCTCTACATGCCCCCCAGGCGGGTCTGGCAAGCCGGGGTCGGGCCGATCCAGGTCAGGAGTCGAGGGAGAGGCGCAGAGGCCAGGGCATCGCTGGCCGGGGACGGCAGTCAGCAGCTCCCCGGGCAGCACCGAGGCACCTGGTGCTCCCGCTGCACACGCTCCCGGACACGGGAGCGCGGACTGCACGGAAGGCGCGCTCCCCGGTCAGACGCACGAAGGCCTGCCGCTTACGGGCTAGACTCCTGGCGTAGCCTTCCACAGGCGAGGCCCGTCGCCCTGCGGGACGGTGGCCCAGGCTCACCAGCAGCAGCAACGCGCTGGCCTCCCCCTCCTCTCCCCACAACCTGCCGCACACGGGCAACGCCACCAATGCCACCCATGCCCCTCCTTGCCACCCCCTCCTCTGTCCCCCTCAGCCTGTGCTGCGTCACCGTCTGTTAGAGACTGCTGTCGAGAAGGTGCTGGGTCAGGAACTCCCTCCCATTACCCTCTGCACTTGGGGGCCCCCTCCCCCGCCCTGCCTTCTGCTCTGTCTCCCTCGTCCTGGGCCACCCCGGGAAGGACTCGAGCTGGCCACTCGGAATAGAAGGGGCCTCGAGGGCCTCTGCCCAGGCACAGGCAGCAGGGCCTATGCGGGGAGCACCTGTCACCTGTTTCGTCCTGGAGCCCTGATCCGGGCCCCTGAGGCCTCCAGTGCGTCCCCGCGCGCCCCTCCTTTCCCCGCTCCACATCTGCACACGGGACGGGGGTGGGCTGGCGGGGGGACGCGAGCCAGAGCCAGAGCCAGAGCGCCGGGGTACTCTGCTCGCCTTCCCTCGGTGACTCACGCCTATTTCCAGTCCGCGAGAGATGGATTCTCCGGGGCTTCTGTAGCACGTTGGTGTTATGTGTTCCCCGTGGCTGTGACTAATTGTGGAACAGCGTTCGTTTTGTTTCCAGCTCTTGAGATTTGTTGGGTGGTGTGAGGTCTCCAGCATTTTCTCCTTTAGCCTCAGCAGAGAGAGAACACAAGAGAGAGACTGAAGCGTAAGCAGAATTAGGCCACATTTGTGTTACCCTAGTTGGCACAAATTGAGTCTGTCACCTTCTGGAGCACACACGCCCCTGGTGAGTCATTCTGAGCTCCAGTCTCATCTCCTGCCTTTTACTACAGTGAAGGACGACCAGCTCCGGTCTTGGCCCTTCCTTCCTGGCCCCCGCCCCGCCCCCCGAACACTGGAGAGTGTGTCTGTGCGACAACTTAGTCACAGCGTTTAGTGGCAGAGACATAGCAGACAGGGCTGGCTCTCCGTTTTTCTTCCCACTAGACTTTGAGCCCCTCCAGGCCAAGGGTAGTCCTGCCTGTCTCTGTGTGCCCCCACCTGGCACGCGCCTAGCACAGGGGAGGTATTTAATAAATACCTGTTGCACAGACAGGCCAGTTCTGAGGTTCACACAGCCAAACAGAGGCTGCGCTGGAAAGCTGAAGAGAGGAGAGGGTTTTCTCAGCCATGTGGCAGACGCTGTCCCAGCCCTTCGGCAGGGGTTGGCTTGAGGTGTCACCAGCCTGATCCAGTGGCTTCAGCCCTGAGATGTGTCTTATGTTAAGGGACCACAGGGCTACAGCCAGATGCCTCCACATCGGGGGCCCCGATGGCCTCAGCGTTTCCAGGCTGTTATCTTGGGGTGACCCGCAAAACCGTGACATTCTCTGCAACCGTGTTCATGGAGGAAAAGCCAGCCAGGCCATCTCTCCTTCTGTCGGGGATCCAGGTCTTCCCAGAGGCCCCAGAACTCTTGCACCCCCTGAGCAGACCTCTGAGCCACCTGGCCCAGAACCGGGTCGTATGTCCACATTAAGCTAAGGGGTCCCCGGGACACTGGGCTGAAGCCACTCACGGTCACCCCAGAGCCTGAGCACGTTGCCTTTAGAACAAAATGGAGACTCTGGTCAAAGAGGAGGAAACAGTGGCTGTGGGTAGGTGGCCCGGTGTCTAACCCAGGGATGCCCGTCAGCGTTTACCGGGGACGTTGGCCTCGGCAGACCACCTGGCCTATTACTCAGCTTCCTTGCTGTTAGCTGTGTGATGCTGAGCAAGTTACTTAACATCTCTGAGCCTCGGTTTGATCACCTGTAAAACGGGCAACCCATTCTTCTCGGTTTAGAATTGAACAGCATTTACATAAAATGTGTCGCCTGTGCCCGGTGCGAGGGGAGCCCTGGCTTCACGCGTGACGAGCGCCTGGCCACGGACACCTTAGGGCTGGGTCCTCGAGGGGGTTTGCATGTTGGATTTGTGGGGGGAGAAACAAAAAGCCATAAGAAACATGGAGACGCTAAACCTGAAAGATGCCTGCTTCCTCTGCCCGCTTCGGGGAAGACGTTAAAACAAAAAAAAAGAGCGATGGCTGTTCGCATCTTTCTCCTGTCTGCACGGGGCCAGTGCCTGAGCGAGCCGGGACTTCGGACTGTCTTGGAGGTGACAGGAAGAGGAGGAAGGGCCGTGCAGAGGCATCGCTCTCCTCGCCTCTGGGCCATGTAGGTTCCGTAGCCAGACAGCTGTCACCAGGAGCACAGCTCAGGCCACCCTGACAGTCCACACCACCCTCAGCCACCTGTGCCATTGTCCGGGGATGGCTATTTCATGGAGCCTCTTGGCCAATATCAAAATTAAGGGTGAAAATCTAGAACCCAAATCCACTAGATAACAAGCTGTTTCTGGGTCTCCCCTGCCTGCCCCCTGTCCCCCACCAGGATCCTGGTCTTCCCAGTCCAGGGGTGGCCGTGCAGCCTGGCATGGCTGGCCGAGGGCCTGTCACGTGGGCTGCATCGTCGGCCTCGAGCCAGCCTTGGCTTCAGGACATGCTGGCAAAGGGCCGGCGGTGAGCTCCCTGCATGACCTGGGGGTCCCAGTTGAGCTCCGGGCACTCCCGTCGTCCCCTCGTCTCTGAATGGAGGGCAGTGCCCACCCACATGCCCACCCTCCGTGCCCCACATGGGGCCGACCGAGCACCACCTCTGGCGGACTGGCAGGCAGCGCCTCTTGCTTTCCTGTGTTCCGGTCCATCCTCCGTAGGCCTGTGGAGTGACTGCTCCCTCCTCTTTTCCTGGGATCGTGGGGGAGGAAGGTGCCCGCCCCCCTTTCCCTGACACCCTGGGCCTCTCATGTGCCTCAGGGCTCCAAGGTCCTGGCCAAGAAGGAGCTGGCCTACGTCCCCATCATCGGCTGGATGTGGTACTTCACAGAGATGGTCTTCTGCACGCGCAAGTGGGAGCAGGACCGCAAGACCGTCTCACGGAGCCTGCTGCACCTCCGGGACTACCCCGAGAAGTACTTCGTACGTGAGGCCCCAGGCCACCGCCACCGCCCCAGCGCCCAGCGGCCCGAGCCCCTGCCGAGCAGCCTGGCGCGCCCCGCACCTGCCCCGCTGCGCGCATGCCGCCTCTGTCCTCCCTCTGAACTTGCTCGTGCAGAAAGCAAGCCCCAGATGCTCTTGTCACACCCACGTGCACACTCCCGCACTCACACGCACACGCTGGGCAGCCAGATGCCCTGCCCTGAGCTGTCAGAGGGGACGGCGGCCTCTGGGTTCACCGTGAGGACAGGGACCGGCCCAGCCCCCCTCTGGCCACGTCCCAAAGGCTTCCCTGGGAACATGCATGACTCGGGTGTGTGATGGGGGGGGTGTGACCCAGGGCCGTGTGACCCCGCCTTGTCCCTTGCAGTTCCTGATTCACTGCGAGGGCACGCGGTTCACGGAGAAGAAGCACCAGATCAGCATGCAGGTGGCCCAGGCCAAGGGGCTGCCCAGCCTCAAGCACCACCTGCTGCCGCGCACCAAGGGCTTCGCCGTCACCGTGAGGAGCCTGAGAAACGTAGGTAAGGACAACCCCAGTCCCCCGCCACCCCACTGCAGCAAGGAAGCCAAGCCCACGCCCCTGAGAGGCACAGCTTGGCCCCTGATGGGGAGGGGACAGGGGCGGCACTGTGCACACCTGGCTAGCCAGGGATCAGGCACCTGTGCGGGAGGCGTGGCCACTGCCTGCAGGCCTGAACACTCCCACTCACACTGAGGCAACACTGCCCTCCACTGCTCAGCACCGGTACTGCATGACTGCGGGCCCTGGGGAAGCCTGGGTCCTGGCATGTGTCCACTGTGGCCCCACCCCCGATTTTGTTTGCATTTCCTGCTCATCTGCTGGCACCAGCTCCCCCCAGATGATGAACTCTGTGACCTTGTCATCTGTGGCAGCCGGCCCTCTGAGTTTGGAGCCCTAAGCCACTGTAGGTGAGAAAGAAAGTAGCAACCATAACTGTCACCTCCTCGACCCGTCCCTTCAGATTAGAAACGGCATTCTTTGTTCTTTTCCTGCCAGGTGACAGCCCCCCGCCCCCCCGCAAAAGCCCCTTGTCCCTCGTTTCCAAAGGGGCCGGAAGGGCGGAGCTGGGGTCTGGGGCAGCTCAGCCTCCCTCATGGCCTCCCGGTAGGCGGTAGGCGGCTGTGTCGGGGGATGGCTGGGCGCTACCCTGGAAGGAAGAGACGCTGCAGTTGAACGTGGCTCTGTGCACGGCCTGGCCCTGGGGCCTCCTCTGCACCCCGTGGGCCCCCAGAGCTCAGGGATTTGGGTCAGATGCTGCTGTGTGGACAGCGCGTGACCTTCTGTGGCATTGCCCACCCCGGAGCGTGAACGTCAGATTCCTGTTTGCTTCTCAGCCACGTTGCAAGTGACCATAGCGCCATGCCGTAGACATGTCCAGGCCCTCCCTCGGGTGCCGTAGCCGTCGTTTCTCAGAGAAAACACTTCCCCCGGGGCTTGTGCTCTCATGCCTCAGACGCACCATCAGAGGGCATGTTTCAGCCGGTTTATCTTACTATTGGCACATTTAAATATCAGCATTTGTTGTTGTACATCTACGTGGGGCATGCAGTGCTGCTTGCCCCTCCCCTGACCTCGGTGACAGTCCTGGTTTCTATCCCTAAGTCCTAGTGTGCTGTTCTGGTCACCACATGGGACCTGTATTCAACGGAGAGCACTCAGACAAGCTAGAAAGCGCACGAAGGAGAAACCAGCAGCCCCATCAGTAGCCAGCTAGCCCTTTGATGATTGTCTTCCAATGTGTGTATCTACAAAACCGACTTGGGTTCACATGCTATATACTGCTTTGTATTTGTTTTATTTTTTATAGTTTCAGCTGTATATGACTGTACACTCAATTTCAGAAATAACGAAAACCCAACCCTGCTGGGAGTCCTGAACGGAAAGAAATACCACGCAGATTTATACGTCAGGTGAGTGGGAGGCGTTTCCTGTCCAGGAAGGGCTGGACCCGTCTCCCAGTGAACGAGGCGCCACCTGCAGCTTCCTTCCCGGGAAATCTGTTCAGTGCCTTCCCGTCCGCAGCCATCCCTGTTCACATTACACACCTGAGAGACAGGCCCTGTTGGGGGCCCTCAGGCGAGCTTTGTCTCCCCCCGTCGTCTCTCGCCAGCTCCTTCTGATCACGGCACCCGGGCAGGACAAACAGAAGGTGGTATTTTATAGTCATTTTGAGACCTGGCGTGAAGGGGTTGTTTTATTGACCCCTTTTTGGACAGATAAGTGCACGTGCCATTTCTGTGGAGGCCTGGAAGCCAAGAGAACCACTCTGGTGGTATCTCACTCACGAGTCACGGTCCAAGCTGGTAGGATTCTACTGAAAACACCTCGCAAGGTGTTAGACAGACCAGTTCTCCTTGCCTGTTGATGGGCTCACAGAGTGTCTGACCCTGGAAACAATCCAAAGCCGGCATCAGGCAGCGGTGCTTCACGCATCCAAGTCCCACGTGATGGGGTTCGGACTGGTTTTTTATGATCCAAGACACACACTCTTGGCGAACTGGCCAAGTATTCTGTGACATCCTGATGGGGCTTAAAAAGGCCTTAGAGATGCTAAATTACACCCCAGCTCCAGGAAGGTTCAGTGGCGGTCACCCCCACGCCCCCGCCCAGGCTGCGGGAGAAGCTGGAACTTGGTGTTGGTGGACAGTGGCCTGAGTTAAATAGCTCTCCACCTCAAAGCAACTCTGGCTCCCCCTTAAAAACAGGAAAGCAGCATCGTGATTATTACTGTTTTCGGTGCTAACGCCGCAGTCGACCGTCCGCCCTATCGCTCTGTTGTCAGGCCCAGGGGCAGGACCTGCGCCCACCTTCCCCAAAGAGGCATCTCCCAGAAGGGGAGTGAAGCTGACCCCCAGGGTCCGCCAACGCCCAGCAGGAACTCCACTCGGGGGGCTGAGGGGCCGGGGTGCCTGGGGGAACCCTGAGCACTCGGTAGGCGAGAGGAGCTCGCCTCCACGGGCCCCTTCCTGGGCCACCCCTCCCGGAGCACATGTGCCAGTCAGGGAGGAAGCACCGAAGCCATACCCCCTGCCCTCTGGGGTCAGCCCGCCCATCAGCACCGGCTGTCTTGAGCCGCTGGGCCTGGGAGGGTCCCCTGGTCTCTCCCATCCTGGGGAGCATTTGTCTCCCAAGACACATGTCATGCCCTCGTATTTTGCAAAGTCCTTGCAGAAAGCCCGCCTCGATGCTGCCCGAGAGGCTCTGGGATCATCAATGGGAGACATGTCACCGTTAGAGTCAAATCATTACCTGGCAGACAAAAGTGCCAGCATGCTGGCAGCCAGATTCTGCGCATCCCAGACTGTCCCGTGGAAACAGAGGCAGCATGCCCTCAACTGGGCCTCTCCATGGCGGGGGAGGGGGGGTGATGGAGGGAGGCGGAGCCGTCTTGGTCCCTCTGCCGTGGGCCAGGACTGCAGTCCAGCTTGTGTTCCCACCACGCGGATGGGGGCTCCCCCCATCCTAGCAGCTGAATCACCCTCTTCACAGCCTCACGACCTGCAGAGAGGCCAGAAGTCGGCGGTGCTATTTTGAAGTCACGCTGGGGGTAGGGGTGGGGGGTGCGGGGCGCCTGGTGCTGGGCTCCTGCCAACTCTGCCCTCTGCCTTGCAGGCGGATCCCTCTAGAAGAAGTCCCAGAAGACGAGGACGAGTGTGCGGCCTGGCTCCACAAGCTCTACCAGGAGAAGGTCAGTGCCACGTGGCAGTCCCGCGGGCTCCGTGCACCCGTTCAGGCAGCACTGCGGGTGCACGGCGGGGGACGGGGGGGCCTCGGGGAGTGGGCGGCGGCAGTGGCAAGCCTCCCTGCAGGCGAGGCCTCACGTCCCCATCAGTAACGACCCTGGAGCTGACCCTTCCCTCAGCCACAGGGGAGGAAATACAGCCAAGTGCATTCTAAAGGGGCACCCCCGAGAGCACACATGCGTTTTGTGGGTACAGCAGACAGAAAAGGATGTGAAGGCTCCTGCGGCTCTCGTCCGTCCATCCGTCCTCCCGCCTCTGCTCCCAAGGCGACGTGTTCAGGGGGCTGTGGTGTTCCCCTCGGCGGGCACAGGAGCCTGCTGGCCCCAGGGTCTGCACCCTGGTTGCCTATGCCGTCTCAGCACTGTGGCACAGGCGGGGAGGCGCCCACGAGGCCCAGCTCGGCCTGTCTGTGGCCCTGCTCCCCAGGGCCCCCTCTCTCTTCCCTCCTTTGGAGCGTGGCCTTCTCTTTCGCTGGTTTCCCTACCTCGAGGCATGCACAGGGCAACGGGAGCCCAGCGACATGTTGCCTCGACCACCTGACTTACGGGAGGGGCGAGTCTGGCTCCCGCCTGGCAAGGGGGCATTTCATGGCCATGCCTCACCACCCAGGAAACAATTCAGGTCCGTCGTTCGTGTTGAGCCCAAATGGGCACATTAGCTAGAATCAAACGCATGCGGTAATTCCGGTGTCTCTTCCCCGGCTTCTGGAAGCCCAGGCTGCCTGGCACATGCTGTCTTCTCCGCCCTGTCCTCACACAGGACGTTCTGGGCCCCCCACGGCTTGGGGATGAGAACGTGAATCCTAGCTTGAGCGTGTTTGAAGGTTTGGGTCCAAATCGCCACCACCCGGGGAAGTGTAGACACCCTTGTGAATGTGCTCGGTGTTTTGAATGAAGCTCCTAAGAGTCTCTATGCAAGAAGTTGCCTCTGTCTTCCCCAAGGGAGCGCTTTTCCAACGATGCCTTTGGCATGCTGCTCCCAGAACGTGCCCTTTGGGCCTCTTTCCTGGATGGCTCAGGGCACAGCTCCCCAGTCTGCTCTGACAACTAGTAAGCAGGGAGCTGTGTGGACGCCTGGGCCCCAGGCTCGAGGACTGCTGGTCGGAGGCCGAGGTGGGACCGGCGAATGTGCACCTCCCGGGCAGCCGCTTCATACCCAGCGGGGGTGAGCGCCCACGTTTTCAGCAAGGTTCCGGGTTATCGAGGTCCTGTGCTGCCGCACGCCCGGGCCGGGCAGAGACACAGTATAGATTCTCCTCTGGTTTCCTCACGAGGCATTGTCCTTGTGCCGTTTTCCGGTCGAATCATTCGGCCAGCGATTTTCAACAGATGCCCTGCAAGAGTTCTTGAAACGCGCAATGCCTGTTTGTTTAGTCAGGAGCATGGACCTCTTTTCCCTTAGATTGTCAAATAAAAAAATGACAACAGCCAACACGACAGTAGCCGTCCCGTGTGAATGAATCAAAATTATATCTGTTTTTTTGGCAGACTTGGCAAAAAGCCTGTATTTTTGGTGTGCCGCAGTTTTAATAATTAGTGTATATGTGCTGGGAAATGAAAATGGTTGAAAATCGCTGGTTTAGGTGGTATTTAAAATGTCACTATTAGCAAAAAGAAACATGTGTTCAGAAAAGGCCTAAGAAAGGAGCCCTACAAATTGACAGCAAATGCAGCCACGGTAGCTCCTCAAAGCAAAGGAGATTGTTCTCAATTGGCCCCACCTGCGTCGCGGCAGGAGCCCGTTCTCGGTCGTTCTCCTCGCCCGACCCCACCTGCGTCGCGGCAGGAGCCCGTTCTCGGTCGTTCTCCTCGCCCGACCCCACCTGCGTCGCGGCAGGAGCCCGTTCTCGGCCGTCGCCTCCGCCGGCCCCACCGAGGCAGGCCGACTGCAGTCACTGCGCACCAAGCCCCTGGGCTTTCAGGGAAGGGTCTCCTTTCCTCCCTGATAAAGTCTCAGGATGTTTTCCCTCAACTACATTTGCACTAAAATGACATTGTTCAGTTTGGAAGGGGTTCCCAAAGCCATCACCTAGTTCAAAGCTCAGGCTCGTTGACAAGGAAATTAAGGTGTGGAAAAGGGCACGATTTGCCTCAGTCTCCCAGCTCAGTCCTCAAAGCCCGGGGCTGGGGGCCAGGTCCTTTCTCTCCATGGGGGGCTGGGACGGCTGCCTGCCTCCTGTGAATAGGCCCGTGAGGCTGGCTTTTCCCTGTAGGCACAACCACGGACCCGTACGTGGCCATGGTCAGCCACGCGTCTGAGAGGGAAGAGCTGGGCCCACCCTGTTTTCCCAGGGGCCTCGGCAGATCTGGGCTTCACATGCACCAGAGATTTTGGTGCCCGCCACGCTCGCCCAAGTGGGGCTCCGCTAAAACCACCACTTCCCTTGCACGGACAAGTGAAGCGTCTGCAGAGTACAGGAGGGCGCTGGGCGCCAGGAAGGGTGTGTGACGTTGTGTCCAGATGGAAATAAAAAGAAACCTCCTCTCTACCACCGCCATTTAAATGCCCTCTGCAGCAGGACATCATTTCTGAAAACAGGGCTGGCCTTTAAGTGGAACGAACTTTGCATTAGAAATGCATGCGGGACCCCTGCTGGCAGCAGTGGTGGCAGGCGAGGGGAGCTTCCAGAAATCATTTACACCTTCCTGAGGTCCTCAGTGACCAAAGCAGTTTCCCAGGTCAACTCCATGTCGGTGTGCACCCGTAAGCCCAGAACCACCTGGGGACTGAAAGGGGTTTTTGTTTTGTTTTGTTTTAAAGATTTTACTTGTTTATTTTTAGAGAGGGGAAAGGAGGGAGAGGGGAGAAACATCAATGTGTGGTTGCATCTCACACGCCCCCTTACCAGGGACCGGGCCTGCGGCCCAGCCACGTACCCTGCACTAGGGAATCAAATCAGCGACCCTTTGGTTCGCAGGCCGGTGCTCAATCCACTGGGCCACACCCGCCAGGGCCAGAAAGGGGTTTAACAGAGAGAAACCGCACAGGGTGATCCAGTCATAAATTCCACACGGGGCAGGTCCTGCGGGTGGTTCCACCCCAAGCCTCTGACATTCAGCAGGAGGTTTACGTTTGCCTTCAGCCAGCCCTGCCTGTTGTTTCCGCGCGTCTGGGTTCAGGCACCTTCGAAATAACCGCCCTCAGGGGAGCACAGATCCCATTAACTGTCCGGTGGTCCCAGCCCTGCTCCGCTTTCTCCCTCCTCCAGTAAACTTTGACTCTAAACGCGGAAGAGCTGAGCACCGCCGTCTCCGCGGCGTTTTCTCAGTCCGTGGGGATCTTACTCCCAGACACGTCCCTCTGGCTCAAGTACATGCCCACAAAAGCTGTCTCCAGGCTTGGAGGTTCTCACGTGGGCACCCCTTTCCCCAGAGCCATCCTAGTTTAACTTCTCATTTGTAACTTAAAGCACTTCCTGGGTTGTAGCCTGCAGTTTGCTGATAGGGTCACACATGAGCCACCCGTGGTGATAATTTAAACAGGGATGAAAGCAGCGGCCCTGGGCTGTCTTGGGGTGAGCCGGGCCCAAGGAGGCCAGGGGCGGGGCGGCTCCGGATGGGACCAGGGCACGGGGTGCAGAGGCTTAGAAATGACATGACTTCATGCCTCACAGCTGTGGGGGCGGGGCAGCCAGGAGTCCGAGCTCAGGGTTACGGAGGGGCTCTCTGGGGCCTGGGGAATAAGGGCACTGAGCCCCATCCTAAGGCCCCACCCTCACGACCTCCTCACCTCCCAGAGCCTCACTCCTAACACTGTCACCTCAGGACTCAGGTTTCAGGGTGCCTAAGTTCTAGGGGGGGCACACACATTCAGCCCAGTGCACCCCTTCACTGGTGATCAGGCTCCTGGTGGCCCCAACCTGGGCTGAGAAAAACCATGCACGTTTCTGGCCAGGAGGAAACTTGGGAGGCCTTGGGGGAGCCAGGTGCTACCTGCCCCACCCCCAGGCATCCCGCAGGTCACGGTCCCTCCCTCGGTCCCTCCCTCGTAAGACGTCTACTTAGGTGACCAGCATCTCTGTCTCCCTCAGTTCCGGGGTGGGAGGCCCTGGGCATACATGCCCTTGTCCTATAGTTGCTTGATTTGATTTCCCCCAAGAACCTCCCGGCTTCCCACAGCTGCCAGTCCTGCCAACTTCGAGGGCAGGAAGAGGCAGGGGCGGGGCGGGGCGGGGCGGGGCGGGGCGGGGCGGGGCGGGGCGGGGCGGGGCGGGGCGGGGCGGGGCGGGGCGCAGACGGCGGCTCCCGATCTCAGGGGAAGAGGTCAGGGTTTCTTCCAAAATGGCCCGTTTTGTGGACCAATTTTAAAAATAATGACTCTGAGTGGTCTAAAAATCACATTATTCTGTAAACCCTGCCTGGAAAAGAAGAAAAGTATGATTGACATGCTTTAGCCGTTTCTATCTCAGCGCTTGAAGCGGCTGGAAGCTCGTTCTCCAGGCACCGCTCAGGTAAGAAGGGCGGCGTGCCGCCAGCCGCAGGGCGCTCTGACGCGGCGGCAGGAGCAAGTAGGGGAGCGCCCCCGGAAGGCTGCCTAGCCTCGACAGCCTCTGCCGCCCAGCAGCGCCCGGTGCTCCCTCCTGCGCGTGGTGCCGAGCCTCCCGTGGCACGCACACCCTGCGGCATTCAGATGCAGATGGTAGAATTTCTGGAACTTAGTTTCAGCTGGGCCGTCGGAGGCGGGTCTGCTCCGACAAGTCGGGCCGGAGCCTGCTGACCATTTTGGCTGTCTGGGCAGTTGCTTAGTGCAGTCACTTGCCCCCGAGAGAGGAAGGAGGCCCGGCCAGAGGACTGTTCCTGCGCCTGGCCGCCTCCCTGTGCCTCTACTCCTGCAGCCTGGAGCCTGCGGGAGCCTGCGGGAGCCTGTCTGCAGGGTGATGGGCTGGGTGTCGTGGCTTGGGCGCCGCGGGCTCCTGTCCAAGGCGCAGGTCTCCACCCTGTTCTACAGTGTCGCTGAGGGTGGGGGTCAGGGCAGCATCTCACCTCCCTCCCTAAAGACCCGTAGGGACAGCCCTCCTGCCCAGGAGCCTGGACTCAGTGGGGGCCTCCGGCAACCCCGCCTCTCCAGGTGTCGCCGTGGGAGGGGACAGCCCCATTCGGTGCCAACAGGAGCCTTCTGTGGGCACTCGGACCCCCGGCTGCATGGAGCCCGTGGCAGGAGCCCGGGAGGTCTGAGGAGAGCGCTGAGGGCCCCTCTCTGTCCCCAGGACGCCTTCCAGGAGGAGTACTACAGGACGGGCTCCTTCCCCGAGACGCCCATGGTGCCCCCTCGGCGGCCCTGGACACTGCTCAACTGGCTGTTCTGGGCCTCGCTGCTGCTCTACCCTTTCTTCCGCTTCCTGGTCAACATGGTCAGTAGCGGGTCTTCCCTGACGCTGGCCAGCTTTGTCCTCGTCTTCTTTGTGGGTGAGTGGCTGGCAGGGGAGGCAGCAGTGCACGCGGAGTGGGGAAGAGTCACCACAGCGTGGGGCAGACCACCCAGCAACTCTCGATTCCAGGCCACGTTCCTATCCCCCAAGTGCAGCGGGGCTCAGGCTCGGGGGGACGGGATAGATCTGCAGGGAGGACAGGGAGCCGTGGGCTCCTCCAAAGCCCCCAGGAGCCCCCAGGGCCCAGTCTCTGGTCTCAGACATGTTCACATGAACGTTCCCAGAGGCCTCCTCTGATACTGTTCCCTCCCAATAAATCGTGGTCACCTACACTTCCCAGCACACAAACCATCTCTTCTGGATGAAGCACCAATTCTAGGCTGTACAGTTGCAACAGGCAACTTGGCCATCGTTGCTAAAATAGTCCCTGCTGTTGCCTTTCCTGAAATTAAGATACATTTTAATGTTAAAACATAAATACTATGTGTAAAAAGTATAGAAAGATGAGGATGCAGGAAACCCCAGACTGAACTCCCCGCAGACAGCAGAGACCACCGCCCCACTCCGGCCCTGCGCCGCCACTGCTGCATCGGCAGGCGTGTGGGGAGCCGTGGTTACCAGGCCCCCAGGAGGGGCGGCAGAAGGTGAACACAGACCGGTGCCCCCTGGAGAAGGCTGCCCCGCGGTGTCCTCGGTGCCCACACAAGGCTGAACAGGCTCCCCAGGGGCCCCTGGAGCTCTGCAGGAGCCGACGGCTCCATGTCCACCCCTTCCCCCTGAGCCCGAGCCCCGCTGCACTTTGCCTGAAGTCACTGCCTGTGGCCTGTCCTCCTCACAAGGGCTCGGGCGATGAGTCCCTCCTCTGGCTCCTCCTCATTCCCTGCAGTGTGTTCTCATCACCTCCCTGGCAGGGAGGCGGGACAGGGCCTGTCCGTCCAGAGCTGGCCCCAGGCTGCCGTCCGCCAGCTTGCACCTACCTGTGGGCCATGTGGGCCTCGCTGGCTGGTTGCCTCCCTGTCCCAGCCCCTCCTTCTCAGGTGCCCAGACCAGAGCTGTGGCTCTGTTCCCAGGCGCACCAAGGCTGGGAGACCCGTCACCACCCCCCTGTACACCCTGAAATGCGCACTGTAAGTCGGTGCTGGGCGCTCCAGGTGAGCGAGGCGTGCTCCCCGCAGCCGGGCGGGTGGCTGGCCGAGCCTGTGCCACCTGGGGCTCTCCTGCAGCTCCTCTGCGTCCTCCGTGGGGCCAGACCCAGCTGCTGGAGAGAAGGCTTTCAGGGGCAGCAGGGCCTTTGCACGTTCACTGCTCTCACGCTTGCCCCCAGAGCAGCGTGGAGCGTGTGAGGCGCTGGGCAGGTGTCTGAGCGCCCGCACTCTCCAGGCTCCCGGGGGGGCGGGGGGGCGGGCAGGGCTCTTTACAGACTCTGCTGCCTGGGGATCGCACAGTAGGTAGGCAGGGACCCGTGCGCCCATGTACAGAGGGCAGGGCTCACCGAGCTCCGTCCCCCCGCCAGTGTTGAAGCCTTGCTGTCCTTCCGATGTCCCACAGTTCAGTGAGGCCTGGGCCCCTGGTCGTGGTGACGACGGCACCCAAGGCCTGCCAGCTCTCTGCTGACGGCTTGGATGGACATACGGACAGCTGCCTTCTGCGGGCCTCGGCCTCCCCCACACCCCTCCTAACGCCCGCCCTTCCCGTGTCTGCAGCTTCCATGGGGGTCCGATGGATGATTGGCGTGACGGAGATTGACAAGGGCTCTGCCTACGGCGACGTGGACAGCAAGCAGAAGCAGAACGACTGACTCAGGACACGTCCCGCCCAGAGGGGACCTTGGGGAACTGGTGGACGCTGCCTGTCTTCCTTGGTGGGACCCAGTGACGATGCTGGGAGAGCCCCTGCTGGGGGGCAGGGGGTCTTGTCTCAACGCCGCCGGCTGGGGCTGGAGATGGGCTTAAATCTCTTCTTCCCCACATGCTTTCGTGGGCTCCGGTTCTTTCTGTGCGTGTGTGTGCGTGTGCGTGCTTGCGTGTATGAGAAAGAACACAGAGCAGGGAGGCTGACGTATGGCTGAGTGTGAGCTTTGTCCTGTGGTCACCGAGGTGTGCGGGGGCCCGGGGGAGGGCAGGGATGGGAGCAAGGGGACTGTCCCTTTCATCCTTTGGTGCTGTTTTCTGTAACCGCGATGGCCAGAGATAGAGTGAACGGCGCTGTAGGTAAGATGACTAAATTATGCCTCAAAAAAAGAAAAAACATTAGTGTCTGGCTCTTCTGTAGTGTGTGTTCACCCAGACCCCACCCCCGTTGCATTCTACACTGCCCCGTGGGCTGGGGGCCGGCCAGGAGGGCGCTGGCGGAGGCAGGGCGCGGTGTGCCCACGTGCCGACCGGGCGCTCCCTGTGGCCCCTGTGAGGCACTTTGGTTTCCCCGGTCTCCCTGCCATGGGTCTCCCTCTCGAAGCATTAGATCCATGCCCAGCTCCCTGAAGACCCCGATCTCGAAACATGGGCTCCCACAGTGATCGCGGAGCTGATTTCACACCCCCTCTGCCTGGGCAGCACGCAGTAGCTGCGCCCGCTGACACGCGCTGCGCGGGGGCCCAGCTGGAGTCAGGCGGGGGGCCGGAGCCCCGGGCTGCTGCTTTCCCACTGGAAGCCCAGACGTCTATGCTGTGGAAGCACAGCCCCGTGGCCTCTGGTCTCTGAAGAACGGCCCACATGCAGGACCCTGCTGCAAACTGCTGCAGTGGACAGGCGCCAGGTGCAGAACAAGAAAGCAAAGCAGCAGTGTCCCCAGAGGAGAGCTGTCAGGGACCGGGCAGTATCCTCTGCCCGAGACGCGTGGCACGTGGACTCACGGGTACCGACGAGCGTGAGTGCCGATGGAGGTGCCGTTAATCCCGCTGCCCACCACAGACGCCCGTTCTGCAGGGTCAGAGGGGACGGGAGGCACCGTCCCCAGACACTGGCCGGGCCACACGCCAAGGCCCGCCCTATTCAGAGCCGTGCCCTTGTGTGCACGTCAGTCGCAGCCCCGGGGAACCAGGGCTGCAGCTCCCCAAGCGCACCCGAGCCGACGTAGCCCGGGCGGGCCGGGACCTGCGGGGAGTTCTGCTCAGTTCAGGACTGTCGGGTCACTGGTCCACGTCTGTGGCAGCAGAAGAGGAACAGGGCCTGGCTCAGCTGTGGGGGGCACTGGTGAGGCCAGGGCCTGAGCTAACACCAAGGGCAGGGTCGCCTCTGTGTGAGGCCACGCGCCCGGTTCAGACGCAGCCTCCCACAGAGTGCACAGGACAGGCTGGGACGACCCTGCAGCGGCCGGCCGTGCACCTGGCGGCGTGCCCTGGGGCCCTGAGCGCGGCAGGAGCCCCGGGGTGATGCCGTGGGGCATTGGCCGTGCTGAGCCGCACACCAGCCCTCACCAGAGAAGTGCGGGGCGAGGCCCCGGCCCAGCTGCTCCGCCGCTCCAGCCCCCCTGCCCCGTCTGTAGGGGGGACGACACCTACCTCGTGGGATGTCCTGGGGGAGGCCAGGTCGCACCTGTGCACACACTTCAGGAACCCTAAGGCACGAATCCTGCGACAGGCAAAAGACCAAAGGCTGCCTGTGTTGCCACTTCCCCACAATGACCACGAATCACTTTGTGTTCAAAAACGCGTTTTCCTCTCAGTCGTCCCATTTGATACAGTGGTGACTGGAGCTCTGATCACACACTGCCTGGCACATAAAAGGGGTCCATAGACATTTCACTTTTTTCTGAAGTGGCCCTGAACCAAACGGAGAGGCGTGTGCACACGAGGCACCCCCGTGCCTTAGTCCAGGGCAGAGGAAGGCGGAGGACTGAACATTCTTCTGCGGGAAGCACGAACCGGTGCCGTTTCTAAAATCACCTTAGAAAACAAGAAGGGGGGTGCTGGGGCGGGATCCCAACCACTTCTTCAGCCATGTGGCCCTTCCCTGAAGAATCACTTTGTTAGGCAGGTGGGGACCTGGCTGTCCTTCTGTCCCCGCAGGGGCAGACACAGCACGGTGCCCGGAAAGACTCGCCACTCCCCTTGACTCCTGGAACCCGGCTCAGGTCTGACAGTGGCCTCTCCTCAGTAGGGATCTTCTAGCTCCCAGGGCGTTTTTGATTTTCTAAGTCTGAGGAGCTGAGGCCACTGCTGTCCCCAGCGGCACGTCATGGACTTAGCTTCCCAGTCATCCTGTGCCCCACTGTCTCAGCTCAGGCCAGCCCGGCAACACCCAGGGTGGCAGAGACAAGGACACCGGGTGATGACGATCAGAGCGCAGCACGGCGCCCACCCCAGACCCCCGCAGCGCTGGGGCCGGCGGTCCCTGCACTTTCCCCAGCGACTTCATTCAGAAGCGGCAGCCACGTGGCCACGTGTGTTGGCCTGGGGCTCGGGACTGAGCCAGACCGCTGAGTTGGTGAGATAGCCTCAGAAGAAGAGCCAGCGCCCCGTGGGTCTCCCACCTTGTTTGTGTCTGCAGGCGGACCACACCTTTTCACATCGCCAGACGGCCGTACTGCAACAAAAGCTCTTGACCACTGTCGTCCCGAAATGCACGGAAAGCTCTGTAAAAGTAGCTATGGATGTTTAAAAATATTTTTCGAAGTGTTTTTGTAATGCAGTCATAAGTGCAACTGAAAGACAGTGACTTAGATGTAAAATCCTGTGGTAATTAACTGTCCAGCCAAAACACACTAATAGCTGACGTAACAGACAAAAGGCCCTGGCAGCTTCTGCCCTCTCTCCTGATACGGACTGCGTCAGGGCCTGGCGGGTCCCCAAGCGAAGCAAGTCACACTCAGCAAAGGCTTTCGAGCTTATTCGTGCACGTGGATGAAGCGGGGAGAAAGGCACCTGCGGTCCCTGCAGCGTCGGCCTGAGGCTCAGGCGGAGGGGGTTTTGGGTTCAGCGGATGTCCCGAGACTGCAGGAGGGACCTGCGCCAGCAAACGTCGCCCGCATTTGGGGGGCGCGGGGCCGCAGCTCTGCCCGCAGGAGCCTGCGTGCGGCTTTGCACCACCCCAGCCTTCCTGGGGCTTCTTGAAAGGGCTCTCGCCCATGTGACTCCCCAGTGACGGATGGAGACAGGTCCCTTGGGTTGTCCCATTAGGTCCAGAATCTGCGTTTCCCTTCCTCCGGCGACTGCGTTTCACGATGCCTGGGGGAGGGGGTCCTTCCATGCTGTCTGCAGAGTGACATGACGTGGCGGCAGCCTCCCCCACGCTGGGCCACACAGGGAGCTGCACCAGCGCCCCTCTGCACACACAAGGTCCTGGAGCCGACTGCAGCGGCAGGGATGAGTGCTGCCTCGGCCGAGAACAGGGCTCCGGATCCGGGGGCAAGGGCTGGCCTCCGTGTTCTGTGCTCCGGACATGCGTGGCCTTCCTCCTGCCGCCAGTCACATGGATGGTGGCAGCTGGCCCTGGGTTTCCTGCACTGAAGTGGGAAGCAGTCCTCTCCCCCACATTCCAGGTCAGGACCACGTCCGGCCTCTGCCGAAGAACTACTGAGGGACGGCAGGCCAAGCACCGAACCGCCCTCTTGTCCGGATTCGCCCCATCTGCAGAATGACTGGTGGATGCGTGGGTGAGTGAGGAATGGGTTGCAGTGCAGTAGGGCAATTTCCTAAAAATATCTTAGGAGATTTAATTGAAAACCATTTTTAAAGCAATTTCAGGTGGGGGGGGGCGGGGGCACCAGGATGACAATCAGGCTCAGTCGACCTCCTTGGTGAACATGCCAGAGAAAAAGGGGGTGGCAAGCGGTCCTTCCAGGCCCCAAACCCCCACCCCCAAAACACCCCTGTGCAGAGGGCTGAGGGGGCCGCCACCACCTCGGTGTGAATCCATGGACACACCCATCTCTCCAACGTCCCATGGGAGTGTTGCGGGGGTGTCACAAACACGAGCAACTAACAGAGGGCGGGGCGGGGGCAAGGCACGCTTCCCCGTTGCTCTCGGCCCATGACATGTGCCTCACCTGTCACCCGTGGACATCTAGGGATGACAATGAACTGTTGGAACCCCCGCTGCCCGGGTGGGACAGCAAAGAAAGCGCTCTCACCTGCACAGCAAGCATGTGTGTCCTTCCCAGAGCAGCCCCGGGGCGGGGGCGGGGGCGGGGGCGCGGCTCCCGGGCCGCCTCCAGCGGGGCTCCGTGAGGGCTGAGTGATGAGGGCACTGAGAGGCTTTAATAACTAATCCCCACTGTTTTCTCGGGATGCCCTTTCCTGAGGTAAGGAAAGACTCTTCCTTAAGCACAATGAGGCCAAAACAAAACGCAGTACTGTACAGAGAGTCAATCCCCTGGTTTTTCTCTTGCAAGAGCATTTCCAAGCCAGGCACTTCTAGCCCCGCAGCCTTGTCCTCTAACAACATTAAGGCGGTGAATTCTTTGAAAAGTACTTAGTTAGGCCCTGTCCTGTACGCCTCCGTTGGTTGGAGCATTGTCCTGTAAACCGAAGGGTTGTGGGTTTGATTCCTGGTCAGGGCACACACCTAGAATGTGGGGTCAGTCCCCAGTCAGGGTGCAAACAAGGGGCAACCTATCGATGTTTCTTTCCCTCTCGCTCTCCCCTCTTCCCCTCTAAAATCAATAAGCATGTCCTTGGGCAGGATTAAAAAAACATTTAGTAATAAGCACCTACACTTAGATCTTCTCTGCACCTAGAGATACCTCCTAGGGCTGTGTTATGAAAGCTTTAAGCTGAGTAAGACTCATACACTTCTTACCTTTAATATATTTTTTCCTACCAAGGCACAACCCTGTTTCACATGGGGGAGTGACTCGGTATTTTTGAAATTTCTGGCATCTGTACGTTCTGTTGACTTCTAAGGAAGTGAGAGGTATGGATACAAAGTTCGGGTTGCCAGATAATAGCCCCTTTAGACTTATAAAATTAATTAAATAACAAACTGCACTTTTTCTTCTCATAGTCTCAAGTGCTCATTTTAGCCAGATCTTTGCCCAGCACTCTAGGAAGTTACACAAAATCATCAAGGAAGTTTTGGAACACCATTCTACCTGTGTGTTTGCCAACGCCGAGGGAGGAAAGGGGCAGAGCACACTCACAGGGCTGACGAGCTAGCACAGGGCGGCTCAAACAAGGGCGCACACAGGCGAAGCCTCAGATGCGCTGGGCCCATCCCTGCCTGAGGGTGCAGCGCCCAGAGGGCTCCATCCAGGTGCACCTGAGGGACCAGGACAGGGCGCCACGGATGCCTACACAGCCGGGCGGCAAGCCCTCCGCCCCTGCCTCGCCCACAGCTGACGGTGTGGGAGGAGCTGCTCCGCGCGCTCAGGGGTTTGCCATCCGACACCACGCACAGAAATTAGCTGGAAGGGGCGAAAGGCCTGCTTGCAGGGGCTGAGCCTCTGAGACTCCAGGGAGGAAGCAGCAGGCGTTTCCTTCCACGACCAGACAGCGGGAAGGGGCTCCATGGACGTGAGATCAAGAGCAGGCGCAGTAAGGAGGCAGGCGATCGACCTGACTACAACATTCCAAACGTTGCCCTGCGAAAGGCACCGTGGAGAAAGGGAAAGACAAGCCACAGGCTGAGAAAAAACGTCCGCGAGTCACACACCCAGGGAAGGCCTTGTATGCAGAATATATAAAACTCTCCCAACTCTGTCACAAGACAAACAACCCAAGTGAAAGATGGGCAAGAGATTCGAGCCAACATCTCACCCAAGGCGACAGACCAACGGCCACCAAGCATCAGCAACAACACTCGCTGCCGCCAGGGCAATGCAGAATGAACCGACCACAAGGCGCCGCTTCACAGGCAGCAGAGCACACTCTAAGAGGAGGACAGAGCAGGTCCCGACGAGGGCCTGGAGCAGCTGGAGCCGCCGGTGGGGCTCGTGGGGGTGTAAGGTCGCGCAGTCATTTTGGAAATGTCTTAAAATACTGAACGTGAACCTACAACAGGACCGGCAGTTCCACTCCCAAGAGAAACGAGAACACGTTCACGTAAAGATTCATATGTGATGCTCAGAGCAGTGTTCTTCCTAACGCCCCCAAAGTGGCACCAGGAAACAGATGGAGGAAACGCATGGCCGGCGTGCGGTAACACGAAGGAATGGGGCACCAGCCCACGCTGCAACACATGCGAACCTCAGAAGGGCTACGCTAGGCGGAAGGGCCCAGACGCAGAAGACCCTCTATTGTAAAACTATGTATGTGCAACGTCCAGAAGAGGTAAATTTCTATTGAGACAGGAAGTGGCTTAGTGGTTGCCCGAGGCTGGGGTGGGCGTGGGGAGTGCACGGACGTGAGGTTTCTGGGGGGTGACAGAAATGCTCCAAGACAGGTGGTGAAGAAGATGGTTCTTATACTAAGAACCATCAAATGATACACTTCAAAAACTATGCAAATTATACCTCAAAAGCTGTTTTAAAAAATTGGAATCACACAAAACATTCTAAGAGTTTATATAAACCTGTGACGCCACCAGCGTTAATAGACATTAACTCCTGGGGGAAGGTGAACATGGAGCCCGCCCGAGAAACTGCTTGTCCAGAGAATCAGCTGCTATGTGTAAGGAATCGAAGATTTTCTACACAGAATCCAGAAAACTTTACAACCGATGTTTAAAAATATTTAATAACCAAAAGAAATCAAAGACCACCACCACTACCTACCGACATAGAATTTGAGCTTCTGGAGAACGACGTACAGAACTTTTAGGTTACGAAAGCTGCTTCCTGGCGGCAGGGCCCCGTGGCGGGGTCTCACACCGACCTGACACCCTCACGTCCTGCTGTGAAGACAAGCTGAGCACCCAGCGCGGGGCAGCAAGGCCAGGACGTGTGCCTGCTGCATGCTTGCTGGCTCAGGCCCTCTGTCCCGCCCACCCCGGGCACTGGCATCCCTTTCTCCTTCCCCCTCGCCGCGGAGCTCCAGCGTCTGCAGCACGCCCGGCCCAGGGTCCCCTCAGCCCCCAACGGCACCCCTTCCACCAGGAACACAGCAGTGGAGGGAACGGGGCCTCTGGGTCGGGTCAGGTTGGCTCTGAAGCTGGTAACCATGAAAAGACAACATAACTGCACTTTCCTAAAATAAACCATTTATTGAAAAAAGAACCTTTTTCTTAAGTTTCATTAATCATCCTTTTGCGTAACAAACCTGCGGCTTGCCAACAACAACGATGACAAGGACAACGAGGGGAGGCTTCACAGTCAGTGCACGCGACAGACGGGAGAGGAGTGACAAGGCCCGGGGCGCCTGATACCACGGCAGCCGCTCTGAACCGAGGAGGCCCAAATGCTACACTGGCGTCGCTGGTCTCAGGGGCGATGGAAGCGACGGTCCGTGTACAGTAGAAATGGCACTTAACACGTAGCTTCTTTACCTCGTGGACACTGCCACCAGGAGGCCCGCGCCAGGTCCCACAAACAGGAGCAGCAGGAGACGTGAGCTCGTCACTTGTGCAGTCTTCAGTCCTGGAAGGCCGAGAGGCCCGCGCGGCTTCCCAGCAGTCTTCATGTAAATATTACATACAGTAGTGACTGAGAGGCTCCTCTGCGGGCCGCTCACTCCTCGTCTGTGCAGACCTGCGGGGAAGGTGGGCAGGCGGGCAGGCAGGTGAGCACCGCGCACGTGCCGCGGCTGAGCTCGGCTCCAGGAGCGACGGCTGCAAGAGCTTTTAGGAAGGCATTTGTGCAGCAGCACGTCAACGTGACCTGTTTCTACACCTTTCAACATGGACCACATTTTTATTGTGGCCAACCCCTAACAGCAGGCTCAGGAACAGGCCCCCCACCCCGCCCTGCCCCGGCCTCCCCTGCAGCAGGAGCTGCTCCCTGGCTCTCCCATGTTTTCTCCACGGTTCCACCCTCACTCGCCTTCTTCCTAAATGCTCCCCCAGAACATTCTGTCCCCAAATCTGTATCCTGCCCCAATTCTCCCCTGCACCAGCCCAAGATACTGAATAACCCACTGCTACTTCCAAGCAGCTGCCCCGAACCCACCTCGTCTCCCTGACCCAGCGCGGACCAGCTGGCTTCTGCACCGACCGTGGTAACTTTCTGCAAACTGCTGACCTCGGCCCAGTGCCAGGCACCAGCCTAGCCTCCTGCTCTACATTCACTTCCCACCCAGTGAGTTCTCACGGCCACTGACCTCCAAATCTCTCTGATGGCCGACACTGGACCCCACTGACCCCACTCCCACCCAATTAGCTCTATTGATCAGCAGCTTCTAGACTAGCCTCTTGCCTCCAGGGCGATCATTCTAGAACATGACTTAATCACGCCCTGCTTCCGGAACTGAAATGCCTCCCCGCGGCCTGCCCCTCCCCCAGCCTCATTTTTGGCACTCTTCACGTCCTGTGCTCCGTCAGCTCCCACAGCACTTCCTGGACAGCTCAACCTGCATCTTGGGCCACCCGGTCTCTCCCATTCTGCCCACCACACCCCCACCCCATTCCTGGCCTGGCTACGCTCTCCAAAGTGCTCACACCCTGTTATAAAGTATCATGGGATGACCTGACCCTACCACACGGCTTACATACCACGACCCCAGCTCCAACTCAACGCTTCGTCAGCGGCAGCGCTGTCCCTACTGCCGCAGTAGAGACTAGTCACTGCCTCCCCTCACTCTCAAGAGGAATACTGGCTTTCACCCAGTTACATGCCACTTAGCTAGGCCAAGGGCACTTCCAACACCACCCAAGTGGACCAAGCCAGAGCACCACAATGAACATTTCCCAGAAACAACAACAAAAAACCCACGTACAAAATCCCTGGGCAGACCTACACGTTCCTTTCCTTTCAGACAGGGACACGGGCATTAGATACTTAGGTCCCCAGTCCCGCGGGCAGCAGCCCACCGCACCTTGACGAAGGGGTGGTCGAGGAGCTGGCTGGCGGTCCACCGCATCCTGGGCTCACTCTCCAGGCAGTGAGAAAGGAAGTCCTTTCCTTCCGGGCTCAGCCTGTCCGGGATGGGGGGCTTGTGCCCCATTCCCACCTTGTACATAATCTGGAAGTTGTGTTCGTATTCATGCCATGGCCTCTGAAAAGAGAAAAACACCAAGTTTTAGTGCTGCACGGACACAAAAAAGGCAACTCCCCGAGTTCTTTTCAGGCACTTCGGTGTGTGTATCGGGGCTGGCAAACTTGCACCTGAAGAGCCTGCCATTACGTTAGGCTTCCAGGCCACATGGTCTTGTCACACCTCTCCGAGTTCCCCAGTGCAGCAGCAAAGAGCCTCAGACCACATGTGAACACACAGCAGTGACCGCGGCCCAATAAAATTCTCTGTACGAGCCAGGACGTGGCACAGCCTGCCCACCCTGTCTGGGGTCAAGTCAGCCCGGCCCTGGGCACATGCCATCATCACACAGATAAAAACTTAACACAGGAAATGAGACGAAAATGCCAATGAACCAGCACTCGGCAGCTATCTTTAGGGGGGTGTAACGTGCTACCTGGCTGAGTAACAAGCATCACGTTCTATGACTGCAAAGCTTTGCTATGGTCACAGGGAACACGAGACTCGTGGGGAGAAGAACCGCGACGGCACCCTTGTCCCTGCACCACTCGTCACTCTGGCACAGGATAACCTGTTTCTCCTACGCACGTCCTCACTGAAGTAACGGCCATCATGGCCCTCCTTCCACCGGAATGCTAACAGAAATACCGTTAGCTAACAGATACAAAGCACCTATGTGCGGTCTTCCTCAGCCGCTCCAAGGTATAGCTGTGTCCTGATTTAATTTCTTACTTGTAACACCTAAGAGATTTCTAACTCTTGTTTTGTAGGCGATGCTGAACACACACACACACACACACACACACACACACACACACACACACAGCCTTGGTACAGCTGTGTAGCTGTTCATTAATCGTGTCTTCATCCGAAGTTTTCAAGCACAGCATCACACAGCACAGCTTCCCTGCCCGCCAGCCGCTCCCTCTGCCCTCTCCTGCAGCCCCTGGCACCCGCGGGTCTCTCCCTGCCCCCGCAGCGCGGCCTCCTCTGGAGCAAGTGCCATGCCGTGGGAATCGCACCATTGATGCGTGGCCTTTGTGGGTGGCCTCCCTTGCTCAGCAACAAGCTCTGAAGGTTCTCCCACATTGTTCTACAGCTTGATGGGGCATTTTTTTATTACTGCACAATATTCCATTGTTTCTAAGTTTGGGCAATTACGAATAAAGTCAATTCACGTGCTGATTTTGGTATAGGTGTAAGTTTTCAACTTCGTGTTTCTTTTCGTAGCTGCTTGCTTCTTCATATTTTAATTCAAGCTTTACGTTTTTATTCACTTTTTAGAGTTCTCTAAATGACACACCTTGTAAATATCTGGTGCTTAGTTGTCACTCATCTTAACCTGACTGTGACTTCTGACAGGCCCCGGTGTTCCCCTCCAGCCGTGTTCTCCAGCAGCAACTGCGCCCGTGGCACTTCTCGCGGTAACAGACCCACAACTGTGCCCAGCACGCACGGGCGCCGCCTGGCGTCTCCCCCCGAGGACCCCGCTTACCTTGCCCGTCACCATCTCTATGACCACACACCCGAGACTCCAGATGTCGGCCGCACGCCCGTGGCCTTCGCCCTTCGCGCGGGTGATGACTTCCGGAGCCATGTATGCTGCAGGGGCGAGCCACAGGAGTGGGGGTAAGACGGCTGTCAGCGCAACGCCTGTCACAGGCCGAGCAACAACACACACTCCACACAGAACACCAGCAGCGGGGCGAGGGGTGGGGGGGGCGCTTCCTCCGAATTACATAACAGGAAATGGGGGAACTTGAAACAGGCATTTCAAATCAGTTTCTCAAGTAGACATTTAAGGGGCCAAATTATCTTCTGAAAGTTCTGAATGTGCAAATTTTCAGATAAATTGTACTCACAATGAAAATATGAAATTTAACCTATAAAGGAGGGTATATGACACCACTGAAGTTTATGACACCAAATAATCAAAATACATAATTTACCACTTAAACATAATGTTGTTTTGACTAGAACAGTTTGAATAAACCCAGCATAAAAAGCAAAGAGTTTTTCTAGGGAGAAAACAAGCTCTTTCCTCCCTCCTTTAACTCCCAGGGAAACTTAACTTCCCCATCCAGCAAGGACCTTCAAGAGGTCTACCGCCCACAGGTGCACACGGTCCTCGGCAGGCCAGACCCAGCCTGCTCTGCATGTCAACACTGACAGGAGAGGCAAAGGGAAGCCACGGTCACCCAGCCCCCAGAAAGGCATCGGCACAGAGACAAACCCAGCCAGTCCCTACCTGCGGTCCCCAGTGTGCTGTTCACTTCCCCAGGCATGGTCTGGGCATTGTTCTTAAGCTTCACTGAGCATCCAAAATCTCCCAGTTTGATCAGCCCCGATGAGGTAAGGAAGATATTGGCACCTAGTGAGAAATGAGCAGTTGTGAGCCTCTGAAACACCGTGGGCACCTTCAAGTTCACGTGGTGACCTCAACTACACACAGTGATACAAGGGTTTATGAAACTTTACTGAGAAAACGTAAGCATAGAAAAATTTGAAGCTTTACTTGCAAACGTTGATACAATGCAATTTTAACATCAGCGCAGTGTATATGGGCCAATGATTTCTGAACCGAAACACGTGCGCACGTTCTAACGCTAGAGCCCAGACACACCCAAAGAGGCCGGCACTCGGCCCCCCTGCGGCAGCAGCAGCCCCTGCATGAGGCGGCGGGGGCTGCGGCCCAGCACGCTCTGCCCCTCAGCGTCATGCTGAGGCCCCCACCACACCGACTTCAGACTGGGGCTGACAAGTGTCCCGTGACTGTCTCCGCGTTCGACACGCACACGCGTGCTTTGCCTGCGCTCTGCTGGAACCCGGGGCTGCCGCTCACCAAGGCTGCCGGGCCTTCGCCACAGCACACCGTCCGTCCCCACAAGCCACTCGTCTCGGGCCTCGCCGTCCCGGGCACCTCCTTCGGAAAGCAACGTGGAGCAGCCACACAAGGGGCTGCATCTCGGAGTTAACTGTCACGGCCTGTGCTCCCAGCACAGGTGGTCCCCACAGGGACACCAGGGCTGACCAGGACCCATGCAGCCGGTCCACACATGCACACCCTTAGCCACGCTGAATTGCAAACAGTGTCGCAAGGACACAGGGGATGGACCTGACTCAGACTCTGAGGGAGTCTCTTTACAGCCATTGCCAACGACACGAAGGTTCCATATCATGACAACGGACAGAAGCTGAGTGTGATGTTTGTGGAAGAACTGGAAACGGGCAATGCCAGGGCCTGGCACACAGCTGATGAAGCAAATGCCCAGAGTATCGCTGGCAGCAGAGCAGCCGGCGGGCGGGGGCCGGGCAGGCAGCAAGGTCGCGCGTGCTGGAAGAGCCGGGTGTGGGGCCTTCACACCCAGGCCGCGCAGGCTCTGGGGAGCCCCGCCCCTGGGTCTGCTGCCTGCTGGGAGTCAGGCCAGGTCTAGAGGGAACGTGTTAGGGCTGGCCTCAGACTGTGACAGGATGGGACCCTTCAGTCGAGGGCCCATTAGAGACAGAAAGGATTTGCTGCTTTAATTACCCGAGACTCCCAGACACAAGGTCAGGGCCACAGTATGGCTATGGCCATGCAGGAGGGCGGTTCCAAGGCAGGAGCGTGGCTGCTCCCCTCGTGCCAGGAGGGCGGGCTCTGAAACCCACCCATGGAGACCCATGGGTCTCAGGCAGAAATCTACGCTGAACGAGTCTGGTAACATGGAGCCACGTGGCCTAGACGAGCGGCCCCAGGGCACGATGCCCCTCACGACTTCCTCCAGCATGTCTGATTCACGGCCACTTCACACAGCCATGGCGCTCATACACAGAGCGCACGGCCCTTGCCCGGGGAAAGGAAGGGTGCTCAGGCCATGGCAAACACACGGGGTCAGCCGAGCCAGCCTACGAAGGCCAAGTCTGTTTTGGGAAAGAGACTTGAACAAAACCAGAAAGACAGGGCAGACTTACCTACTCACAGACGGGAACCCTGGGTTCTACAACCTTTCTCCAGACTGGGCTCCTCATGGACAAGTATTTAAAGTAAGGCATCTCCCTTCTAGGGAAATGCTGCGCGGGAGGGGGACCAAGCATCCTGGCTGCGCCTGCTACCCGCTGTGCGGGACCCCGGGTGACTCCGGCCCACAGCAGCAAGGTGACGGGGATTACCTTTAATGTCGCGGTGAACTATGCCATGCTCGTGGAGGACGTTGATGGCCACGGTGATCTGCTTCGAGTACAAACGGATGACGTGCTCCTGCAGGCCCAGCCTGGACACCTCCTCCAGTGTGCCCTCGTCACAGTACTCCATGAAAATGTACATCTCCTCCTGCGAGGGCCGAGGCGGCCGCAGAGTCACACACAGGCGCACAGAACGCTGCGGGCCGTGCCCGCCGCCATCCCCTAATGGCCTGCTGCCCCCATCGCCCTGGCACGGAGCTGTCTCACCCGAGGAACCTGACTCGCCACCGGCACAGGCTGCCGGCCCCAGGCCTGCGCAGCTCGCTGGGAGGACAGTGCCACCGCACAGACATCAGTGGCCACGATCCTCCAAAACAGTGTCGACCGTGTGAACTCAGACAGGGACCCACAGGGCTCTCCCTACAAACGTGTGACTAAAGACGGAAACACATCCTGCTCAAGTACAAATTAAGGTGGGAAAACATCAAAAATCACGAAAGACCACCTCCCCCTGGAAGCGCAAGTTTTCCTCTTTCCCCAGTGCTTGCTTCCAAACACAAGAGGACAAATGAAATGGGGGTCCTAATTTTCTCTTATTTCACAATGGTTCCTTAATACGCATAAAAGAAAAAGCAGTACTACTTCACAGTGTACTCAACAGCGAGTGATTCAGCCAAAAATGGAAGAAAAAAGGGAGGAGGAGTGCGGAGGACCTCCTAGAAGGCCCTCCAGGCGGCAGGATCCATGCCAACGCTACGCGGTGCGAGGTGAGCGACCCCAGCCTACAGTCACCTTTCCGGAAGGGCTCCCGGCCCCCACCCCGCCGCGGCCTTGGTCTCAGAGCAGGGAGAGACCTGACAATCAGACAAAGCTACTCGGTGGTGAGGCGGCCCATGATGCAGACAGGACGCCCGCGGGACCGCCTGCCGCTCGCTCAGGGTGCGAGGGAAGCGGCTTACCCTGTGTAGCTCCACACCAAAATACCGGACCAGGTTGGGGTGCTTGATGCCCTCAAATATTTTCAGTTCGTCCGCAGTTTCCTTGATGGTTTTATGGTCATTAGGCTGAAATCGAATCTGTAAAAAACAAATGTCAATCAATGCCACTACCCACACACACCAGCCACAGGACAAGTTTGAATTTGAGGACAGGAGAGCTGTCTCCTGCCACATGCCCCGCCTGGACCACACAGGCCTGCTGCTGGCGTGCCTGTGGCTTCGCTGCCCGATTTTGTCTCCTTTGCCGGTTCCTGTGAATTAAGCATGCCTGCCCTGGGGTGCCTGGTGAGGTAACAGCTAACGGGATTGTTTCCTAACTGCAAACTCAATCAGCAAGCACACTGAACATCCTGTGTTCAGGTTCTGGGCAAGGTCAAGAGCTGAGAGAGGACTCTGCCCTTGAAGCCGACACCCAGGGAGGCTGGAAGGAGGCTACAGAAGCGGCGCAGGAAGCCCCACGCAGGACCGGAGAAGAATGTCCAGGTGGTCAGCGGGCTGGAGGCCGTGTGTGCCTGGTGTTCACAAAGCCGCTCGAGGCACCAGTGGTCACAGCAGCTCCAGCCTCTTCCTCCGCTGCCCCCTTGCCCTGTCTCCTGCTTGTGAGCCACGAGGTGCCTCCTCCTCAGTGACAATAGCCTTGGTTCCCCTGACAGGCCTTCCCCAGGCTCCTCCTGCTCTTCCCACTCTTCCTCCTGCTGTGAAAACGCTGTCATTGCTGAAGTGGATCACAAATGGCCCCTCTGCCCCACGGGCCCCCCTAGAAGATGCTGCTGTCCCCATCCTCTAGGCCTTCCCAAGGTTCCTTGTCCGTCTCCCTCTCCACTGTGCTGACCACACCCACACGGAGGAAGGACCTCTTGATCCTCGCTGGACCACGAACCCCCTTCCTCTCACGGCCCCTCAAGGGATCTGCCTGGTGACCCCAACACAACAAATGCTCAAGAGAAGCCAAGGACAGCTCACTATGGAGGCACTGCAGCGTGTGCCCAGGCAGGGTAACCCTGCTGGTTACAGTGCTGTACCCATGCACCAAGGCTGTGGGTTCAATCCCCGCTCAGGGCACATACAAGCAGCAACCAGTGAATGCATAAATAAGTGGGACAACGAATCAATGTTTCTTTCTCTCTCTCATAAATCAATAAATAAAAAAATTCAGTGTTCAGAAAGAAAGGAAGGAAGGGAGGGAGGGAGGCAGAGAGAAAGAGAAGTGCTGCCGCAGCCCTACACACTGGGAACCTCATCAATACCAGTTTCTCTGCAGCTCTCTGTCCCCGGAGGGCCAGTCCACTCACCTCCTTCATGGCCATCAGCTCGCCCGTGTCCACGCTGATGCAGGTGTAGACCTTCCCATACTGCCCTTCACCTGCGAGCAGAACAAACGCACGGTGCTCGGTCATGCCGCCAGGCTGCTTGAGCTCACTCGTGTATACGCACCTTCCCGTTCTAGAGCTGTGTTTATGCTCCGCAATTACGCTCACTGAAGCTGACTACTCTAAGACCCAAAATATTTCTGAATATCCCTTAATAACTGAAGACTCGCCATCTCTTCACTGTCTTACCTGTAAATACATATAAACAGTGCAGAAGTGACTTCGGAAAGGCCCAAAAGAGGCATGCAGGTGCGTGCTAAGCACCCTGGTGGGCGCCTGTCGGCCCCTGTGGCCCTGGAGGCCTGGGCGGGTGGGGGAGGGCAGAGGTGGGCATGGGGTGGGCAGGGGGGTGGCCAGGGGAAGCCTGGCCCCTTCTAACTGCGCCTTGCTGCTTCAGGTCCAGGAGTGTGGCGTGGGTAGTCCACTAACACACCTTTCGGGACCATAAACTAAGGGGATAGATGGCTGAGTAAGACTGAAAACAACACAACTGAAAAGCACTTGACTGTTTCCAGCATTTTCTGTTCTAAGAAACCATTCGAGTTTCCTAAGGCTCACAGAATCCCACATTACAGCTGTGTTTGCCTCTTCAGGCCCAAATGCTCAGAAGACAAATGCACGTAAATGGGGGAAGGCTTCTTCTCTCCCACAGGCTACCACCAGTTTCTTCACAAAAAACAGATTAGGTGATGTTTCAGAAAAGACTGTCCTGTCCTTATTTGTATCCAGTTTTTCTTCAGTATGTGCTTGTGGGGATAAGATAAAGAGACACAGACTTTAGCAAACGGGCACAATTTACGTCGCTCCCCGCTGGCAATTTCTGGAGTTATCAAGTAAAACCATTCAATTCAATGAACCATTTAAAAATCTCATTCTAGAATCTCATTTTGTACTGCTCTCTGAACACATTCTACATATGAAGCAAGTAACAAAAAACCATGAACCCTCTGCAAAAGATGACATGTTTTGCCACGTGTTTAAGGGAAAAGACCAACAATCTAATTTTTAACCTAAGGAAGTGCAACTGGTACTGTTTCTAACAGAGACGATCTTTGTGCCATGCTCCTTAGCTTCCTTACCGATCTTGTTTCCTCTTTGCCACTTGAAGGTCACCTTCCTCAGGCCAACATGCATGACGTTATCGTAAGATTTGGGGGTGTCACACACTTGACCAATGATATTCTTTCTCCTCATTTCTCGATACCGCTTTTCTTCAAATAACCGGACTGACTTCTGGATAGCTTCCATGGGCCCTTGCTTGGAAGCGGAATCTGCAGGGAGAATTGCACGCTCGGTAGTCCTGGTCACCGTCACCCAGCCAATTTCCAGCAGATGCTGAGAACCACAGAGTGACACACAGGGCACTCTGTCACAGCAACACTGGCGTGATCTATCCAGACACACGGCAGGAGCACTACAGCCCATTACACCCCGACCCCGACGGCCCCGGAGCACGCCACCGCCGTGCAGACGCGCCCCCACACGCGCCGGCACAGACGGAACGCCCCTCCCTCTCCCAAGGCCGCTGGCCACTGGCCAGACTGTGGGAGTCGCACAGGCGCCCGGTTTTCCCTCTCTGGTCCAGTCCACAGGCGTTGGCCAGGGCTTTCTCACTAAAATACAGAATCCGATCACGTGACCTCCAAAGCCCATCCTGTGAGACGCCAGGTCCTGCCCTATTTGGACCCTGTTTCCTTCCCAGTTCACTTTGTTAAAGCTGCTCCCCTCTCCTTCCCCGGCCCCAGGCCTGGAACCAGTCACACCAAGACGCTCTCGGGGGGGGGCAGGCCACGCTGGCTCTCACCTCCAGGCCTTTGCCCACACTTTTCAGTCTGCCCACCACACTGCTTCCCCACCCCCGCCACGTGGGCCTGCCTCACCGCAGCTCCACAGCGCCTCTGCTGGGGAGCCCACCCTGAAGAGGAGGGCGCGCCACCTTCTCTCCTGCGGGGGCAACGCAGAGCAAGACTGGCACCAGAGCCTTGAGTAAAACCCCTGCTTCACCATGTCCTCGGAGTTTGACAGCGGGCAAGTCCGTCTGGCTCCGTAGATGGCAAATTCCTAATGTGTGATGGGAAGGTAATAACACCTAATTCCCAGAGCTTCTTGACGACTGAATGCAATCACGCAGGTCCAAGGAAAGCGCTTGGCCCACTGTCCAGAACTCAGGAATACTCAATGAATCTCACCCACCGTTACTACTATTCCTTATTTTCCCATTAGGCACCATACACCCATTTCTCCAATTTATGTTTTTACGATTTACACATGCAGAATGCAAAGCCAGCGTTCCCTGAAGCATGGCTGCTTTCACTACCTGTGACTCGGACCTCAAGCCAACCTGCCATCCCACTGGCGGGTGACAACCCCTACCCTGGGAAGTACCGCCTCCTGCTCGGCTCCCTCACGGCGCCTCTCAGCCTGGCTCCCGGTGACCCACTGTGGAGCCTGGATTTCCTGGCAGACGGAGGTCGTTGAGGACTGGAGCAACTGGGGTAAGACTTTCCCAGATGTTTACAACACTCCAATGACAGTTTCCTGACATAACCACGCCTTAAGAACGGGGACCCTGTTTCCTGTCTCCACCACGGACACAGCCACTTCCCCCGGCACCGAGCACGGCTGTGAGGACAGGATTCCACTGCCCAGTGGTTCTGGGAAAGGCCTTTTTTTAAACAGTAAAAATTTCTCAAGATTTCTCAGTCTTGAATATTTCAGTGGGAATGGGAGCCCTCCCAAGTTTCCAGGTTTACTTGACCACCAAGTATTTGTATTTAAAATCATCACAAAGACCTGGTCTCCTTGGGAACGACTGGTCACGTGAGCCACTGGAGAGAGGCTTAGGCCACCACACTCACTCCAGCCCAAGCCCTGGACGTGCACCCACCTGCTCAGGCCTGTCCACTGTGGCATCACAGTTGATTCTGGCTTCTGTTCCTTTTTTAAACCCCACGTTAGTTCACTATCTCACTACCTTACGTTGCATGGCTGCAATTATTTCCACCAGTCTCCCTTTCCTCCCTCATTCAGGCACACGGGTTTCTCTGCCTCCATGTCCCCATCTCCCACCTTCCACTCCCAAGACACATCAGCTGCTCGAGAGGCTTCCAGGGCGCTACCACCTTGGGGCCAAGGCCCACCGCTTAGCCCATCGCTGAAGACTGCCCATGATCTGGCCTCCACACGCCCGTTCAATGTTACCCCGTTGACACCTGCGCTCTCCGACCCGCTCGGGCGGCCCAGCCCTCGGCCCCCGACACCTGCGCTCTCCGACCCGCTCGGGCGGCCCAGTCTTTGGTCACTGGGCCTCCACATGTTTCTCCTTCTGTATTTTTCTTCTTGTTCTGACGCATACCCGTCACCCCTTCAAGGGCCAGCTCAGGCCCTCAGGAAGTCCCCGACTGCTCTGGTCATGGTGGACAATTATTCCTGTGACCAGTCACACATGTTTCACAGGGCTGTGATGGCGGGAAGAGGACTGGAATGGGACATAAGAGTGAGTGGTATGTTCTAGTCCCTGTCATTTACCGCATGGCCAAATTATTTGTCTCAGAAACTTTTATCACTTATGAATAGAAGACAAGATCTATTCTACCTGTTGATCAAGAGCGTCATGACAACAAATACATTCTAGAAGCATTCTGTAGCTCATCAAGGACTAGACCAGTGACTTTTCTATTTATTCTTTTGGTGAATACTGACTGATTGCCTCCTTTACAAAATAAATGATTTCTCTCAAGTTCTTAGCCTAAAAAAGGAAGTTATTCATTTTATATATACTATATTCCTATCATGTACAAAGAATTACGCTGAGGGCCTACTCTAGGTGGCAGATAAAATTGTCTCAAGTGCTTAAAGAACATAAATTAATGAACATGTTCCTGATCCAAAGGAGCTTGTAATTTATTGTAAGAAACAGAAACCGCCCATGAACGTAGCACATACAGAATGTGATGTCGCATGTGTTAAGAGATCACAAAATATAATGGAGAGAGGTCTACTAATCCCAAAGCTCAAGTGCACGTCCTCGGACCCCACCCCCGCCTACGCTTAAACATTTTAGGTTCAACATTCTTCCTCTTACCCTTCGTCTGGCTGATAAGCGTCCGGAGTTCCCAACTTCTCCGAGCTGACCCGCTGGAATCGCCTTTTGGGTATGCTGGTTCTGTGGAAAGTATTTTTTTCATACGTATTACTACTAATGAAGCAAACGTGCCTGTTTAATTGAGAGGAGGACTGAACTGGTGAGGGGCAATGACGCATTACCACCAGCCCGCCCTTTCTGCTGACCGACTACAGTCTGATGGGAGTGTGAGAAGCTGTCTCGCCAACCCATTCTACAAAATCACACCAAACTGAGAAGTTGTTACTGGGGTGACAGAATTCTAATTACATAAACCTTCCACGAACAACAAACAACATATGACACAAGGGCCACGGGGCGCTCTGGGGACCGCACGTGCAGCCCTGCCCAGCAGCCAGCAGTGCCACAGCACGGGCCGCCACGCGTCCTGGGCCGACGCCTTGGTCTGTGTGCTAGGGAAACAGCAGCAGCGCGCGCCCCCCACCCAGTGTCAATTCTGTATTTTTAAAGTGAATGAGAACACTTGGTTGCTAAAATATCATGAATAATGTTTAAAAAGCAACAAAAGGAAACCTAGAAAATGCAAACCCAGCTAAGAAGGTATCTCGCGTAAGACGTCGGTGGGCTCGCCCTCCCCCCGCCCTTCCTGTGAGTCATCCACCCCAGGTGGGCGCCCACGAGGACGCGGGAGGCACCCCCGTCACTCACCGTCGCGCTCCTCGGTGGGGCTGGAGTGGCGGCTCAGGGACCGAAACTGCAGCTCGGCTGCGACAGAGGCCAGCCGGTCGTTTTCAGGAACACTGGAGCCCCTGTTTCAACATTTGCAGAAGCGGGGCTATCAGGTTAGTGGGATTCAGGGTGGCAGGTCTGTGAGGGTCTCCCAGAGCAGCGGCTCTCAGGGGAGGGCGAGCTGAACCCCTGGGGACCTCCAGCCTCTAGTGGGCAGAGGACAACACAAAAGGCGGTCCTAAACAGAGACTTATTCCCCCAAAATAAAAGGGGCTGCTCCTGGGAAACCCTCCTCTGGGGTTTGGAAGGAGAATTGTACTTTCATCCCTCCACAGCCAACACATGAAAACCTGACTGCATAATACACTCTTACGTTAACAACAACAAAAATTAAAACAAAACAGTACTCATTGAATAAAGTGTTGACGTGTGTGGGAAGCTCTATAACTTATGCCCAGGATGGATAGAAATGAACAGCCAAATCTGGTTAATATTTAAAATTACCACCAAATTATATTTATGTACTTAAATCTTAAAGTGTTGAAATCATTACATGACCCAAAAGATTTCAAGTCTCTTGATCAGAAAAAAAGGAAGACCTAACAGTTTCTCAAGCAGGAGCCAAGCAAAAGTGCAGAAGAGCAGGAAGCTTCACATGTAGAGAACAAGTTAATGTGCTGCTTTTCCAGAATAAAGTTCAAAGCCAATTGTTCAGTAATCCAGAATGAATCCATAAAGACCAAGACCCAAAATTAGGTTAGGGAGGTGTTAAAATAATAATACAAGTCATCCAAAATACACATAGCTTTCTTTTGTGAACAAGTTTAGTGTGTGGTTTTAAATGAGCAACATAATGAAGTATGGTAGCATTTATGCTCTTTTCCACTATATTCTGAACAGGTTTAAGGCAACAGGGTCCAAGGACCAGACAGGTTATGACGCATGCAGCGCTTCTGATTTCTCCCAACTTGCAAATGGAGGGCAGCGCTTGCTAAGATGGGGAGATTCTCTACTGCCCTCACAGAGGCTGGGCGCCGTTTCCTGGAAAAATCGCCAATGCCAGCGTGATGGCGCACGTTCTGCTCCTAAGCCCTGCTGAGGACGGGGACTGTGGAAGAGTCACTTAACACCTCTACATTCCTCGCTTTCCAGAGACAAAATGTGTCAGTTCCACGTCCTCAGAGACCTTTGCCAGGATAAAAGGCAAGAAATACATTGAAATGAAGTGGTGTGCTGGTGAGTTTTTAATAACTAGTTTTGGGGAGGGTGCAAGAATGGTTGTAGAGTTTGACAATTTATATGGTCCAACAACTGGCTTGCAAAATTCCTAAAAAAATAACCATCAGCTCTTGCCAGCCCGTAAGAGCCAGCTCCAGCAAGTAGAACGCTGCCAAAAAGGTTTCATAAACAATAAGGTAACTGAAGCTCAGACTATTTCCTAAATCAAAGCAAATCCAATGGAAATATTACGGGGTGCTGCAGGGCAAAGCACTGTTTCCCTGCGGCTGTGTCTGCGAGACGGGGTCGGGGGTGGCCTCCCCTACCAACGGGGAAGTCGCAGGCACCGTCCCGTCTCTTCACAGCAGTCACCAGCCGGGCCGCACAGAGATGCCGGCCCCCGGGGCCCAGCACAAAGGTTCTTGGGAAGGGGCCTGAGATGCAGTGAGCGTAGCACAAGCCAGGCCCGAATGCACGAGTGAGACACAACCGCGGGCCACGCACGGCTCCACGTGGCACTGCCATTTTATCTACTGTCATGTATGCACTGCCATAAAAAGTTAAGAAAAATGTCATTCCTCTGTAAGAAAATGGACTGCAAGATGGCATACTATGATGGTAATAAAATTTCTAACTATCAAGGATCATTCTAAGGATGTACATATTTACAACGAAGAATACTTAGGAAATGCTTAAGATGCTAAAAACCTACTAGGCCAGGCCCAAGACTAAAGTCATGAAAGGCACTTAACTTGTATACTAAAGTACATTCGCTTAGTGTACCACACTACCACCTTTATACATGCCTTAAGCCACAGCTCATGAACCTCTGACAAACTGGGATGTCCTCCCCCCGTTTTGGTTCTGGAAAAATCTCGTGTGGTCTCAGGAGGGGCAGTGGGGGAAGCAGGCGCCACAGCTCCGGTGACGCGGCCTCCTCAGCTAGGCTGTATGTTAGGGCACGTCATCCCCTGAACTTTGTACTGCGCTTATACACACGACAGGTTCGGTAAACCCACAGGGACAGGGAAGCATATGGAAACACTGGCCAGAAACTGCTCTAAACAGAAAAATAAAGAGAGTAAATGAGAATTTTTTTCAAGGTCAACTGTTAATGATTTTAGTTGAATGCTTAAGCTGTAAAATACATTGACATTTTTTAGGTTATAGACATTTATCACCAAAAACAAGGACTATTAATTATTCTAATGAATGAAAAAAATGGAAATGTGCGCAGACATTTTAGGCTGTTACAAGTTTAGAGATGTGAGAGTCTGCGTTCAGCCCCACAGCTCCGGCCACCTTTCTGCCGACACTACACGGCTGTCAGTGTGATCGGACCCCCACCGGACACCTCCGTCGGAGGCCCCTCTACCAGATGGAACGGCACAATTACAAGCGACCACATGTCCTTGAGATTAAGCGTGTGAGACCTTGACGAAATCTCTCGGCAAAAAAAAATTTTACTGGGGGGAGGGGCCTGGACACCCTCCTCCCTAACAGAGAGACTTCTTGTCAGGGCCCCGCGCTTGCCTGGAGCCTGTCAGCCCAGGGACGGCTCCGCCTGGTGATGTCCTGGCTCGCTCCCCATGAGATGCGAACCCCACCATTCACGCCCCACGGCGCCGGCTCCTCCTCATCGACAGCTGGGGAGGTCAGCTCACTCGGCTGGAGAAACGGCACTGCTGGCAGCACGAGAAGCTGCCTCCGAACCCAGGACGGCACCGCGTCCCAAACCTTCCACGCCCCCCCGCTGGGGACCGGCTCTCCCCTGACACTCTCCCCAGAGGGTTACTACTGGCAGAGACCTAGTCATTTTGGTTACTTTCAGTTCCAAAGAAATGTCACAATCAGGCAGGTCATCTGCTTGTGCCGGGAAGCACTAGAGCTGAGCGGGGGACAACCCGTGGGAGGCCCCGGGCAGTGCCACGCCTGAGGGAAGAAGCCCTGCCGTCTGTGCCCTGGGACACACCCCAGAGCCGGTCACTACGGAAGGGCGCACGAGGGAGCAAGGAGCGGACGCTGGCCGAGTGAGACTACCTGGCGTCATGGGCACTGCTGGTGGGTTTGGGTGGCGCAGAGTCGCCGCCTGAGGGGCCGTGGCTCCGCGCGTCCGAAGGCACGCTCCGGGTGCTGAGACGAGAAGAAAAGCTTCAGGAACACAGATGACAGAGGGGACAGACTTGCAAATGGTTTTCAGTGGGAAATAAAACAGGGTAAGTGAGAAGTACCTTAAAACAGAAAATGTCAATTGTTCACTGAGATGCAGGTCTAGGTTTGAAAAATAATTTTAAAAAAACCACCTAATTTCAAACTGATTATTTTAAAAACAGATGCGGTCTTTCCTAGCACACACTGTCCAGTGAAACTGACTTTCACAAAGCGGTGCCCCAAGGGCAAGAAGCCGCTCCCTGCAGTAAGACGCAGAAATGCCACCACATTCAGGACCCTGTTTCCAAGGCGCTGGCGCCTCGGTGCTCACTTCAGTAAGTTGGCTCACAGTTACAGACACACACAGAAGTCAGGAGAGACCGGAAAGATCATTCCAGATTTTTCCACTTTTAAATTGGTATTTAGTATTGTTTTCCAAATGTTTATTATGTTATGCATGCCCGTATGTGCTTCTCAAAGATCATTTTTCAAAGGAAGAGAAAGAACTATTCCAAAGCTGGAAAGCATTTAGTAGCTCGAGGTTATAAATAAGCTCAGAAGTGCAGTTATCTGGAAAGGTACAAGTCTGTTTTAGACTGGCATGCCTTTTTCTTTTGCAACTAAAGCACTGTGGTTTGTCTTCAAGATAATGCAAGAGCTTTTAAAAGGACACAGAAAAACAGCTGTCAGAGCAAGCACCCAGCAGGTTCCGGGGCGCGGGCATGCACACCAGGGGAGGCCCCACCGCGCAGACGAAACGGTGGGCACCAAATACCTGAATCCCTCTGGGGTTGGGATGATGAGATGGGGGTTGGGAGGGTCGCTGTGGCATCGAGGCACCTTCACAGGGCGGGGGCTGTTCCGATGAATCGCTGTCAGTGAAAACGGCAACAAACGCAACGTGTTAGAGGGTCACTACGAAGCAGCCGAACCAGGTGACTAAATGGAAGCAGGATAGGACTTAATTCTGCTGGTGACCAAAGTAGGCCCTTTCCATTAGGAAATCATGACATATACAAAAATTGTGGAAAATGTCATCTTGTAGTTACATTACACCTTCAAACTTTTCTCCATCAAAACCATTTTTTTAAGTCCCAAGATGAAATATACATAACACACGCAGGACAAACGAATACAACCTATTTCAGAGACACATGACAGTGTGGCTCACGTGGCGTTGCTAAGAGAAAGGAGGTCTTTATCTACACTTGCACAAGCAGTCGGCGGGCGGGGGGGAGTGCAGGGGTTTGTGGGGGGTGGGGCACATCCCTAGGCCCCCCGGTCTACGGAGGAGTCGCTGTCATTTTCCTGAGTGTGTGGACTTTGAATTCCTTTAAACCAAACCAGGGAGACAGGGCACAGTTTAAATTGGTTATTTTTTTTTTCCAGAGCATGTCTTCATCTCCTCTTCTTTTAAATAGTCTAGTAGGAGGTAAATATGGATAAAATTTAAAACGAATTTTTAAAAAGTGGCCTTACTAGTAATTCCAAAAATGCTAACAATTGCCCTTTCCCAATAACTAAATATAACCAGTAATGGACAGTGTTATATTTTGTCTATTTCTCTCTAACATGGTATCCCCCCCTTTTTTTTTTACTTTAACACTCCTTAGTTTTTTTTAAATGTCCTATTTTCTCTTTGTATGTTAACAATTTTAGCCTACACGTTTTATTCTAAGTGTTTTATCTGAAATGGAAATACTTCTTTCTTCATGGTTTTTATTTGCTTCTAATAAACATTACAACACAGGAACGACAGAAGACCCCAAAATGGAGCAATCTCAAGGGAAAACTTGCAAAACAAAAATGAAGGAATTATTTTTAAAAAATTTAGGAAATCTTCATCCCTGGCTCATTATCTCAATACTACAACAATAAATGGAATAACCAGATAGTAACAAAGGAAAAAAAAAAGAACAAATATAATTTTGTGCGGATGATGATAGCTTTAATTCAGCAAACACACTGGTTAACTACCAAATTAAAAATTAGTACAAAATTTTTCCATGAAGGTAAAAGACATTCTGTTAAAATACATGCACACAAGTCTAATATTCTTCAAAGATGAAACAAAACATTTAAGGGTATGTATATCTAACTGCTGCAAAAATGTGGATACTTCATGAAAAGAATATCCAAATAGCCAATAAACATAAAATATTCACCAGCATTGAATATTTATTATAAAAGTTTTTCCTGGAAAAAACTAACACACCGAATGCCCATAAGCAGCAGTGCAAAGAACGGTAGGGCATGCACAGCGCACACAAGACAGTCACCGAAGAGAATGGGTCTGATCGACACCTGCTGACCCAGAGGGATTTCTACCACTGTCCAGTAAGAAAAGCAAAAAGCAACATTCAATACGCCCTGATTTGCATACAGTAAATGGCAGGAAAACCACCCTATCAATGTTGTGTGATGTTATGAGCGCCAAGGAAGGGAGGGTAGAGCGTCTGTGAAATTCTGTCCACGAGATTCGGGAAGCAAGGGGCGTCAGGCAGCAGGCTGTTAGCATTAGCAACATGGGCAGAGCACAGGGAGGGAAGGAAAAGCAACAACAGGAAGTTAAGGTGCTGGCACATTCCTTCGCTTCACTTGTAGAAAAAGAACCTGAAACCAAACGACAACCCCCTGCCTTGAGTGGGGCACGCCAGCTTTCCAAGTGCTACCGCTCACTGGCTCCTCCCGGCGCCCGGGGTTAGGCAGTGACAGGGGAGGCTCCCAGGCGGTCAGTGAGCAGCCCCAGGTTGCTGGACAGGCAGGCAACCAGGCTCCCAGCGCGAGGCCGCCCCCGCCACTCCACAGTGGCTGCAAGGATGGGGGACACACCCTGAGCCTCCCGAGAGCCAGGAGCCCATTGTCCTGCCAGCAGTCTGGAGACAGGCCGAACGATTATTGGCTGTAGGAGCAGCGATTACCTGAGGACAGTGGGAGTATAAAAATTTTTTTCTTTTGCAGTATTTTTCTATATTGAAAATTTTCCCACATGTACATTTTCTATAGTCTTTACATCTTTCTTTAAGTTGAAATTTTCTATAATGAAAATGATTCCTATGTAATACTTTTAAAAAGTAAAGTTTTACTGAATTATTGATCTGTATTCCTAATTTAAGAGATCACAAAATCATTTATAATATGTTTAATCAAAAGTCTGATAAGAACATAGCATGTTTTTTATAAAATGTTCAAATACTTTTGCAAATAACTGTCATTTCATGGTGACCTTGGGAGAAAAAGAGCTATAAATAAACTTAGTGAATTTTAAAGAGAAAGAAAACGAAACATTACAACTGGGTCTACTAAACTTTCCGGAGCTAGAAGCTACCATTTAAGATACAGGTGCTGCTCAATTTATTTACCATTAATGAATTACTTTATTTTGTGTAACAAATTGTTTAAAATTTCTAAGTTTCAAATGTGGGTGTTTATTACGTACACGCACAATTTTGCTTTTATTTACTGCCTAAAGACGGGTAAGACACGACCTCTTCCTGAAACACATTTGATTTTAAAATTTCAACATACAACATGCAACTGTACATTTACTGTAATTAAAGCATGTTATAGCGTAACAACGTGCCTTTTTTTTTTTAAGCAAAAACATGGGCTGCCTTCGTCGGGCAACGGGCACCCCGGCCAGCGGTGGGGAAGAGCGCCTTCCTGTGAGAGGCGAGCAGGGCAGCACCCGACGCGCGCCCCCGGCAGCAGGGGAGGCCCTTGCTCCTCATCAGACAGCTCGCTCCCCCATGTTTCCTCCCTGAAGAAACGGCTGGGGGGCAGGGGAGAGGGGTCTGTGCGCAGAATGAGCGCAGGATGCGAAGGAAAGGTGCTGGCCAGCATGGAAAACCTGTGCCGGCGTTTTCATCTTTCTCTGGATTTAGAGATCAGAGTGCGCTCTGTATGCACCTCATCCCTCTAACTTTCACTGCCAGTTTCTTGAGTATCCTTAAAGGGCCGTGACACCGCTGTAGAGGACGGCAGGGACGAGGGGACGCGCTCGCCCAGGCCAGCAGGTTCTAGCAGAAGGGCCGCAACCGCTGTCTTACCAAGGTACAAACCTGTGACAGGACTGTGCGGCTTCCCGATCACGTGGCCGATGCACTCGTTCATCAAGGCTTGTAAACTCTAGGACACAAAGGAAATGGGAAAGGGGGAGAAAGAATGGACACTCTCTCAATTACATGGCTAGCACAAATGAATCTTTCAGTACATTTAAAAGTATATGCTACCCCTCAGTAAATATTTTCAAAGTTAGTTTAAAATAAAATAGGTATGAATAAGAATTAAATTACACATTGTACATAATTTGAAATATTACACAACTCCACTTTTATAAGTAAAAGCAGGTGCGCATTCAGCATCCTATAATGCACTAGCATGCACATGCAAGGGACTCCTGCAATCATCTCTACTGTTTGGGGGTAAAATGAATACATTCACATTTTGAACATCTTTTTGATCTGATGGAATTTACCGAAGTAACAGAATATTTAACATTTCACATCATGCTCTCAAATGACGTGCTGTGGAGTGAAATAGCTAATTCCTGATCTTTATTACAGTGCTAAAAAGCAGCCACTGAGTCAGCAGTTGACAAAGGCGAACCTGACAAGTACTTCAGAGGTGCAGGCGCAGCTGTGCACTGACTGCAGTCAGTTGAACTGTATCGTTATATAAAGAACAGAGCACAGAATGTCTTACTGTGCCCTTAACTACTTTGGGCTTTAATGACTTAGTTCTCAACGTTATCATTATATATAAAATATTCTAAAACTATTAATAAGTATAAAAACACACAATCAAGAATAGACAGTAATCAACTTAGTTTTTTAATGGAAAACACTTTAGAATATTCCATACCAAGAAGTCATCTTCTGGTAAAGCTGAAATGAAGGCTGGTTCAATGGCTTGCAGAAAGTCAAAACCTTGAGTTGCCCACCTGTAAAGAAAAGGTTCAATAATCACAAGACACCCAAGAAAATGTTACAGCACTTTTAAGTGATGTCACTGGAAGATGACTATCTAGGACAAAACACATTTTTTTGTCTTTATTTAAAAGCCTGGGATTGAGTGTGTTTATAGCATGCTTTGGGAAAGACAGACAAATGGCTTATTAACAAAGGAACTGGTTACCAATCTGTTTTCCATTTACTGTAATAACAGGTTTGAATTTCGTGAGGGAGGAAATATCAGCAATCAGGAAGACTTGTCCAGGGAGGATGCGAACTCCCTTAAAGAAAAATTATCTGGGAACAAATTTAAAACACAAAGAAAACAAAAAAAGCCCCCCACCACTCATCACCAAAGAGTTTTCAAAATGCTCCTTTTGTGTCATCTGCTCAGAAATCCCCCATCAAATACAAGACGGAAGCCCCGCCCACCCCACAGGACTCAGGAAGGACACCCCACTGGGCCATTACCTGGGTCTGGTACCTCTCCCACTCTCACACTTCGTTAAGACATAATTCATCCATTTCCGGGCAAAGCTTATGTATTTGTCTCCAATCTTCTGTCTGAACTCTCCAGACATCAGACGAACAACTTCTTTATGATACTGTAAGATTTCATGTATATCAAAATTAAGAAGAAACGATTATACAAATACCTAAACACTATAATGCTACATCTGTTTAAAATGTTTTTTTCCCTAAAACCCAAAAGCAAAATCCAATTAAAAATTACATATTCTGAAAACAGCATGAAGAGTGAGAACATAATGTCTTAAAAATGCACTTTCACAAATGTCTGACTCCCAAGTTTAAGACTGTGTGCTTTTATGGTATCAAACATCTCTTCAAAGAAGGTTTTTAAATACCGGCACACAGCTATTAGCACAAAATAAAACCCGGCAGCATATCTGACAATTTAAAAGGAAATCGACATTTCCGATATTCAGCAACGGTGTAGGGTGACATTCTTGACTAGGATGTGATCACAATCAGTAATCAACTTTGCGTACAAGATTCACGACACTCTCGTAAGTGATTCACAAAGCAACTACTGGGCTGTACTGTGTTGCCCCTCTTGCTCTGTACCTACCTCAAACCCAAAGTTGTACCCCTGAATCATCGCTTCCCGGTGGTACTGCTGCAGCGTGACAGACTCGGCTTCATCAACCTCGCCATCAAATTCTGAAGTGAACGTGTGGTCCACTCGGTCAATGGCATCACTTATTCTGTTGCAAAGCTCTAGTGCCTCGTTCTAAAGAGTCCCAAACCGTAATTAATCCAAAACGAAGCGAAGCGCACAACATTCACCTACTTCAGAAGGTTTCCCTCATCGCCCACCACAGACATAGACCAGAGCAGTGTTTCTCGGCCACAGTTATTTTGATTATTCAAAAGGAATGACCAAAAATAGGGGAATTACTTCATTTCCCTTTTTATTTGTACTACGTAGTCTTTAATCTCTTACGAAATACAGAAGGAAAAACCCATTTTAAATGGTAACTCCTCATTACAATGTGGCCTTGGAAGACACACACAGGGCCCGAGGATGTTTATGGGCTGACCACCAGTTGTCCTTCCCCTGGGGGGCGGCTCCGAGTCAAGCGTGGTTTTTTCCAACCCCCGAGAGCTAACCCCAGGTGCACGTCTGGGCGAATTCCACAAGTTACCAAGTCATCCCGTCTCCCCACCCCCTGCCACCGCTGGTTCAGGACTCCCCGACTCGATCTTACCCCACCTCCAGGGAACACTGGTAGTTTTGGTGGTGAAAACTGGAGGAAGAGTAAAATCTATTGCCATCTCTTACATAGAGACAAGAGAGACTGCTAAATATCCTATAATACACAGGGCAACTCCCCCCAGAAAAGAATTATTGATCCGAAATGCCCACAGCTCCAGCTTTGTTGTCTCCTTAGGCAATACAACAGCAGCTCCAAACTGGGTTCCCCTCCCACCCACCCTTAAACACATCCCTACTGACACATGTTCTCCATCAGACAATCCCCCTTACGTGTTGTTCCAGAATATTCTCCCTAAATCTTCAACTCCCCAAGGCTCGTAAAGTAAAATGTAAGATCTCTCAACAGCATGATTTTTTCCACCTGACTGCACCAGCCTTGTCTCCCACTACCTTCCACTGTATGCACCAAGATCCAGCCGACCATCTGATATTCCACGAGCCTTCCCTGGGCCTGACCTACGGACGCCAATGCCCAAACGCTCCTCCCGTGAGCCCCGCCCCAACGGGCAGCTTCTGTACCCTCCCGAGCTGGAGTGCCTCCCTGCCTGCTCGCCCCGGGTGCTACCAGGGGCCTCTGACCTCACCCTCCTCCCCTGCAGTCTCGCATGACCACTCAGGTCCTGAGGCTACAAGTGCCTTACACTCCAGAATGGCCAGTGTCTTACATGATTCTGTGTTCTCCAGAATTCACTGACTCACACTAAAGGAAAAAGGCACCTGCCCTGGTATTAGAGGGAGTGACAGTCTTAAAGAGGGAATGTTCATAGATGAGTAAGAGAAATCAGACTGACTGGAGAAAAACATGCTTCTCCAACTCCCTGTAATTGTGAGAACTGCTGCTTCAGTGCAAGTGAGAAGTCAAGCCTCAGTGCAAGTGAGAAGACGTGACGGCCGGCCCGCGGAAAAATGCGGGTGAGGGCGAGGCTGACACGTGGGGCAGGACCCAGAGAGCAGGGAACATGAGGCTAACGAGATGCGAACTCAGAGTCCTGAGTGCCTGTCCGAGACTGGCTCTGTCCCAGTTATTTTGGCTGACGTGTTTGTTAAATGAGAGAATAAATGAATCTTCTTTTACACTGTATGTCCCTGACTTGGAGTGCCCCTCGTAAATACTGTTGAAGAATAAAAAGTTGGATTAGGAATGAAGAGACCTGAATTCCAAAGTCAACTCTGCTACTAATTGACCATGGGACCATCATGAGTCACATAACTTCAAATTCGCACCCTCTCCAATTCTGACACTCTGCAATCCCAGGAAAACTCCAGGGACTTGCTAGTTTAGACGTGGAGAAATAGGTACCAGGCAGAGGAGGGAAGTGGGGAGGACAACCGACTGAGACCACGCTGAGACACGCGTGTTCTGCGGCAGGGCCTCCCAACAGGAATAAACTAGCTGCAGTCGTGTGGACACAAAATACCTTGAGCCGCTGCAGAGCCCTGGCAACGACCGGCTGACTGGACGTCTGCTCTTGACGCAGAGTCACGAGTCCCTCGATGGCCTGCTGGAAGCCTTTTCTCTGGATTATGAGGTTAGAAGACTCCATGACGACTAGTAAAAGGTTATCCACCTGGAGGGAAATCAGGCACAGAGGGATAAAAAACAAGCCGAGGTACTGCCTCCCCATTCAAGTCCAACACCATCGGATCGCGGCGCCAACCCCAGGGTTACCAGGCCGGCAGCCGCCCGAACAGAAAGCTGCTGTCCAGCCAGGCTGCTCCCGAGCAACATGCCACAGCGGGCGCCGAAGCCTGGGACCTTCGGCCCGGCAGCGAAGAGTCCCAGGGTCTGTGCACACGACACCCCTGACCACTCTAGCACTCCAGGTGGCTCAGCCCACTTGGCGTCACGCGCCTGCATGTGCAGGGCAGCAGGGTAGGGGCACACGCAAGAGGAAGAGTGGGATGAGCTGGGGGCCTCATATGAAACAGTGAGAAACCAGACTTTTTTTTTTTTTACTCTTTAAGTAGTTTGAGTACATCTGTGATATGATCAAATGTACATATTAGAAAGATCATTCTGGTTCATTCTGGAAACATGAAAACAAACATGCGAAAGTGTGGGGCGGGAAGGTACAGGTTGAAGCAGGGAACCTGATGGGGGAGGGCCACTGCCAGAGTCCGGGAGGGGGGCGAGCGTGGCCGTGGGGATGGCGGGGGGCTCAGTGACAGGGTCCCTGAATGGCAGCGCTCTGGGCTTGCAGGGCAGCTGACTGACTGCAGGGGCGAGAGGCTGAATGTCCATCAACTGCCACGCTTGGGGCCAAGTGGTGGAGCAGACGGAGCAGCACTCGCGGGGACGGGGCGCACAGGGAGAGAGCACATTTGCACCGTCACGGAGCCCGGGGGCTAGTGGGGGTCAGGCACTCGGCCCAGGCAGGCTGAGCTTAAGGGGCACGTGAGCACGCGCCGACAATGCCCCTCACTGAACACAGAGAACATAAAGAAGCTGCTAATGGTTTTAACTGGTGACTTACATGAATTATGGGGACCTTGCTAGGTAGGTGGGCAACAGACTATACTACCCAAGTGAGAACTAAGTAGTCAGTAAACCAGTTCTTGGAGAACTGGAACTACAAATTCAACGAGTAAGATAATTCCTTTTAGATCATGGATGTATACACCTAAGGACATGGCTGAACTAAGAAAAAATATAAATAAAACATTTGAAATACTCCAATTTAATTAATTTAACATACTTACAGACTTGGAATATTTTAGTACAAATAATGCTACAAAATGGTTTGGTAAAACAGCAAGGCCTACTTCGGGGAAGTGTGTTCCTTAGGCCCCTACAGTAGTTAAACTGATCACTCGGGAGTGGCTAGAACCCCCTTTTCGCAGAAGCATTTTCAGTAAGCAGCGGTCAGCGGGGGAGGCGGGCGGGGGGAGCCGAGGAGGCCCACCTGCATGCTCCTCAGGGTGTCCACGGTCTCCACCTGCGGCACGACTTTGACCAGCGGGGCCTCCCACGCGGCCCAGCCATCCTCGGAGCCCTGCGTGTGCCCGCTGGGCTTGGTGAGCAGCAGGTAGGCGTCGATCAGCACGTCGTCCTGGGAGCAGTCCTTTCCTGCGGCTGCGTCGAGCAGATGCAGGATAATTCCCTTCTCCTCAGCGAGGGTGTCTGGAACAAACAGCTGCAAGTTTTCTAGGCCAGGAATCTGTACCTGGAACAGAAAGAGTCCAAAGTCTTGAGTTAAGAAATGTCATAAATTATAGGAACATTATTTGAAAAAAAACAAAAAAACAAAAACCACCACCACCTAGGAAAAGAGCGGCAGGCCTGGGACGGGGCGGGTGGGAGTGGCGCCGTGGGCCAGTGCACGGAAGGGCGGCGAGCAGGCCCGCACGCAGAGGGGAAGGCCCGCGGTCTCTCCGCCTGCAGGGCCGCCTCTACCGCCTTCATTTGCAGCAGCAGAGAAAAGGCTCGTCAGGGGAGGGGGTCGGCCTGAACCGTCCCCGAACAGCACTACTTGGCGGTGTCGTCTGTGAGCGGGCTGCTCCCAGACAGCAAAGCCCGGCAGTGGCCGATGGCCGGGATCTTCAGCACAGCCAGGAATCCTGTGAGTCCGTGCAGGTGACGTCTTTGAAAGAGGACGCCACCTGACTCAGTGAAAAGGAAAACCTTTAACACGGAATACACAGTGACTGTGTCCTACAAGTCACACACAAATGTGGGTGGGATGCACTGTGGGTGGTGAATAAAATTTCCAGTGACACCATCATACACAGCTTCCAAATGCACTAAATCGTAAAGAATTTAAATGAGAGCAAAGATGGCAACTCAAAGAGTGGCTCCAAGCGATGCTGAAGACGTCAAAAATTCATGTAAGAAGCCTGAACTGTTTCAGGAAACGCAAGGGTGAAAAACAAAACTATTTAAAACCAGCATATTGTTTTATATACATTACTTTAACTATGTATATGTAACTAATAAAAGTTTGAATAAATATTTTATTGTTTTATCTGTATTCTTAAGACATCAATAAGTCAACATAACTTGGTCTTCCACAATTATTTCATCAAGAGATAGCTGGATAGTCTTCTAACTGGGGTCAGCGTGTGGCCAGGAAAAGCCAAAATACTTACCATCTGGATATTTAAGATACAGCTTTCCTGTTTTAGGGTAAAGTAATAAAAGCAAAATATTTCAATTATACCACGCTAAATATTTACCTTAATGTACTGCTTTGATTTCAGAACATCCAGAAGGTCTCGAACTGGAGCTGAAAGTATGAACTCGGCAGCTACTTCCAGATCCTGGGATCACAGTTACAAAGAAATTTCTTTAGAGTTGGCTTTTTAAAAAATAAAAAAGGAAACCGAAAAAATCATCATCACTAAGGAGGACTGCCCTCTCACCTTTCTCAGCATTTTGGCAAACCCGAGGGCCTTGGAGGCCCGCTCCCTGGCCTCGTGGAAGAGCTCCTTCAGGGCCCGACTGATCTCTATGACCGACCTCCTGCAGCAGGGGGGGAATCCAGGGAGGGCACGGCCGCGCGGGAGAGCGGACATGAAACGGTAAGGGTGAAGCAGATTCTCAATCACATTGATAAAAACTGAAAATTCTATAAATGGAAACCTATTTGAAATATTCAGGAGGCTGCTCCACACAGTTGTCCAGAAAATATTTGTGTTCCTTAAATAAGTAGGGTACCGCTAATAACGTTTAAGTAACAGTAAGGTCACCTTTCTAAAAAGTATATAAGAATAATTTCCTGGAGGTAAGTTCTTGACTCTCAGCTCATGTTCTAACTAACAAGGCACACGTCCGGGGTGGACCAGTAAATAAATGTCTAACAACGGGCTCCGCCCGGAAGCTTGTCCCCTGTGGTGTTCACGATTCCTGGGGTGTAGAGAGGCCACCACAGCTGGTTCAAGCTGCCAGTCCGGCAGCACTGAGCAGTGACTTGGGGAGAGAGGCGCACCAACTACCGCCCGTCGGCTCAGGAGCCAGCACCCACTGCCCGCGAACCACATTTTATATCTCCCTAAAAACAGCACGTCAGAGCCGTTCTGTACAGTTCACCATCTTCATTCTTGAATTCCCATTCTTATTGTAATCCCCCATTTAGCTCTCAAAGCATCAAGACCTTCTACAAATGATTTATTCTGCTTCTCAGCCACTCAGTACTGTTCCGGGGAGAATCTACGTGGTAACCACTTTCTTTATCTGCAGCCTAGAGACATCCCAGGTGTTCCGAAGCCCAAACTGTGCTTCCCATCAGGCTCTGGACGCTGCGAGAAAACATCTCAGCTCTAGAGAAGTCTGTTCCACTGAGCACTGTCTGAGGTTGACTCATGTGACACTGCTGAAAAATGGCCACAAAAGGGCTACCTGGCTGACATATATGCCATAAAAACAGCAGTTTTACATGATTCAGCCTGAACACCATCCACACAGAGTTGGAGGAAATGCAGCAGAGGAGTAAGCCATGGTTTCATGCACTTCAGCTTGGGGCTCAACAGAAGGGACAAGTTAACCATAAAAACAATAAACATGTGGCAAATGTCAAATAAAGACATTCACAGATTGCTACAGGGGTACAATTACTTAATTAAAGACATCTGGGAGTGTGTGGATGAATTCTACTCCACTCCTTTTTAGCCAATTGAAACTATGCATCCCTTTCTCTAAGGACACTATTTTTATTAGGCTAAGTAAATTCACTGACCACAAAACCATACCTAAAAGACCATATGAAAAGGCAGCACAGAAATAAGTCCCTTCAGGTCTATTACCCAAGCTCATCAAGCACAACATGCCCAGGTATGGCTCCAGCTGACTGTGGGCTCAGCACCGGGACCCAAACCGGGGGAGGAAGAGGCGCCCACCTTATCTCATCTGACGCGCAGCTGTCCTCGGCGCTGGCCCAGAACTCCGCGCAGCGCTCCTGCAGGCCGACCTCCAGGAAGCTCCCCGTGGACTTCAGAAGCATCCCCGCGATGTCACTGAGGGGGCGAGGTGGCAAGAGTGAGCCAGGGACAAAGCTGTCCTCATGCCTCCAATTCTTGAAGGAGGAACTGAAAGGGTCAGCTACTGTTTTGATAGTTTTAAAAAAATGACCAAGAACTTTTAAATAGGAAATCATGATTACAGTGAAAAAGTGGAGCTCCCGATCATGGCATGAATATACCAGTGTTCACAGTTTTCGTTAAAAACCGTAAAATCTTAAATTACATTCATAATAGCTATGTAATTATAATTACACAAATGTTATTTTCATCTTAAATGTTCAAAATAATATAAAATGAACTTAAATATGTATCTGTGACAAAATGTCTTTTTTAATCCTCACCCAAGGACATGCTAATTGATTCCAGAGAGAGGGGAGGGCGGGGGAGAGAGAGGGCGAGACATTCGTTTGCGAGAGAGACATCCACAGCAACCGCGGCCTCATTACACCCGCACCGACCCGACACTGAACCCCCAACCCGGGCCAGTGCCCCGACCAGGGACTGAACCTGCTACCTTTCGGTTCACAGGACGATGCTCCAACTGAGCCACACCAGCCAGGGCTGACAAGATTTTTTAAAAGCTTAATAAACTAAATGATAACATAAGACAACAAAGTGAATTCCTTAAATGCAACTGTTTTTAAAATTTCCCTCACAATTAGCTTTTCATGGTCAATAAACATGAAATACTACACATAGATGATGGCTCTGAGTATGAAATCTAAACACGAGGGTTAAAATGTAGTGAATCTGAAGGCAGTTCAAGTTCGGCAGCAGCCTAACTATCACAACGTCCAAGGAAAGAGGCCTCCGGTCTAGTAAAGGCAAGCAGGCCCTGTGTCCACAGCCAGCACCAGACCGTCAGTGGCAGGGTGGCGTCCAGGGAGAAAGATCAACCCAGCGGCCAGCGAGGTTTCCGTGGGCTCTGTGGGCAATGCAGAGCTATAACCAGCACAGCAATGGCAGGAGGAGGGGCTCTGTCAGGACGAGCGTGGGGGTCAGGGAGAGGAGCACCGAGGAAAAGCAACAAGCACGAATAAAGGCACTGAGACGAATCCAATCTGAGAGGAGGAGGGCGGGGGCCCCGGGGCAGACAGCCTCAGATGTCACTGTCTGACCCGCACCTGGAGGCAGAGGGCAGGCAGGCAAAGTCGCTGAGTGGGAACGTGTCCTGATGAGAAGCGTGCATTTGAGAACGGGAGGGCAGAGGGCTGTCCAGAACGGGGTCACTCAACAACACCTGAGTATCCGTCACACGCTACGCAGCAGCGGGCCAAACGGACAAAACTCTCTGCCCAACAGAACACACAGTAAATTAGGAAGAAAACTACAAAGTATTTCAGGTAAGCGTTATGTAGAGAGAAATACAATAGGAAAGAAAGCTAAGGTGCACTCGCAGGTCGAAATTTCCATTTTAATCCTGGAGGAGGTGACATTGAGACAGAGATGTACACAAAGGAAGAAGAGGGAGGAGCCACGGAGAGACCTGGGAGGCAGTGCCGGCAGAGGGACAGCAAGGGCAGAGCCCAGGCCGGGGGCGGGGAGCGTGCGCGCCCAAGGGGCAAGGGAGGCAGGATGCCACTGCGGCTGCGCAGAAGGCACAGGCACACGAACAGGGGTCTGAGGAGCAGTGAGACCGTGCTGGGCCTAGAGGCCGGGTGTGGGCGCCCTCCTGCTCTCCCTGAGTGAGAAGCGGAGCCACCAGCATAGAGAGCAGAGAAGGTGGACGGACGGGCACCTTCACAAGGCTCCTCTGGCTGTGGTGGAGTTGAGGACGAACCACAGGGGACGAAGGGTAGAAGGACAGAGACGAGAGCCGTGGCAGGAATGCCAGTGACCGACAGCCTGGGCCGTGCAGAAACGCAGGGTGGTGAGTGGAGGTCAGACCAGGGCTCCCTCCCGAGGGTCGGCCAGAAGGATGCGAGGTGAGGTGCGAGAGACGGAGGGAAGGTGGGGCCCAGCCCTGACCGCGGAGCCTGGAAGGCCTAGCCCAGGAAGCAGGACGCTGTGCTGGCACAGCAGCGCCCCGAGGACCGAACCACGACAGCAGCGGGGCACCCCGCAGCAGGCAAGGACGCGGCCGGGGCCCGCTCAGTGGGCCTGCACGGTGTGGAAGGAAGGCCAGATACTGCGCCACAGTTCCAGGCACAAGCGAAAAAGAAACACACACAGACTGGCCGGGAATGAGGGTCCAGGGGAATCGCGTGGCACGGACTGGCAGTGAAATGAAAGAGTAACCTTTAGAAAGTTTCTTCAACTAAGCTTCACAGTCTGAAAACAGGTAATGTAAACAGAAAAAATTACAGGCAAAGCAAAATTGTGAGAAACTAAGCGTGGGAGGGACACCGAGAAGGGCAGTGGACACACTCTAGGAGGCTGCCCGCGGGCACCGACGGGCAGAGGAGGGTGGTGCAGACAGCAGGGTCCCGGCTAGGGGGCTGGAAGCGCTCCGACAGCGAGGTCACTGCTCACGCAAACAAAGACGGAGATGACAGCAGAACAACGGGCAATGAGGGCGAAAGCAAGGGGCACAGAGCACGGACGGAGGGGGTGGAGCTGAGGACGAGGGTTTTCTAAAGGCGGAAGGCCAGACGGCTCCGCACAAAAGCTGAGGTCCTCAAGAACGCACGACCCAGGGCAAGAAAGGAGCGGGCACGCAGCCCCCAGGGAGGAGGCGGGAGAAGGCACCACAGCTGATGAGAGCCAGCTCCTCAGACCCCGGGCGGCAGCCATCCAGAGCTGGGGGGAAGGACTGATCTTCGGGGGGCGGAGGACGGGCCCCCGCCAAGACCCCTGACATGCCCCTGAATTCAGTACCAGGCACTTAAACTCCAGGAGACACATTCCCTTTCTAGAACAGACAGACCAGTGACCACACTCCCTGCTCTGGTCTTCCTGTTCCCATGTCTAACCTTCCACCACATGAAAGCCCCGCTCAGAGATTCTGACATCGGCGCCACACTCCCAAACAGTGTGATGGAAACGCACCCGTCCCAGTTTCAGATAGCCCGAGGCCCGAGATGCACAGGCCCTGGGGGCCCGTCTACCCCTTGGAGGCCTGGGAGTCTGCCCCTTGTCGTGTGCATCCCAGAGGGTTGACTCTAAGGCAGGACGGCTCCACCGCAAACCTGGCCCTTGGAGCGGGTGGCTCTGTTCTGGCGGCCGTCCTGCACACTGTAGGGGTTCAGCAGCGCCCGGCTTCTGCTCGCCGGGCGTCAGCAGCCCCTCCCAGCTGTTACAATCAAAACCACTTCCAGACATTGCCAGATGCCCCCGGAGGAGGCACACACCCCAGGTTGATACAAACGTGGGCGGGGGCACACGGAGATATGAAAGAGGGTCGTTTTCACAGAGCCCAATGCCGAGCACACACACAGAGAAGCATGGCAGGGGTGCAGGCTGGGAGTGCGAGGGGGACTGGAAGGCGCCCCAGGGTTCCTACCAGAAAAGCGTCCCGGCCTGGGCCTCTCCTCCACGGATGTAATGGGTTATTTCTTTGGTGAAATTCCATTCTTTTTCTAACAGATTTTTTAAACTATGGGATGCTTGAGGTAACTGCTGTAGCATTTGGATCCAGCTTCTCATGTAATCAAAGTAGACCTTAAAATACAAAAATGTAAAGGAGAGAGATGAGAACAGACTGCGGAAACCCCCGGCGCTCCCCTCAGGGAACCCAGACGCGCGGTCCGCAGGGCAAGGTGGGAGAGGGCTGCCCGCGCAGGTGGCAGGCACGCTGGGGACCAGCGTCTCAAGGGAAGGCTTCCCCGATCGAGGAACTCTGCTCCTCGGCACCTTGACGGTCTTCACAATCCCTTTAAGTGACTGAGAAAATAACTAAAAGGCTCACAATGCACAGAAAAGCACAATCAAGCTTTTTAAAAATAAAAATAATAGCACCCAGAAATGCCACCACTAATATACCACAAACATTACTACTCCTTTGAAAGGCTTGTTTAACTACTGTAACTTCAGACAGCAGCTTATGTGGTGAGAGGGAATGAACACATTTCACACCATTGTTGTGATACAATTTTTCAAGGTTTATGTCATGTAAGTTACGATCTATAACCCAAATGCCCAACTTTCCTGAAGTGGAGTTTACAACCACCACAAGTCCCGATTCAGCTTTCCACTCCTAAATTCTTATTGTATCTGTTGCTTCGTATGGTTTTCCTATCAAGTCCTTTTTCTCGTGACGGGTTCACAATTGCTACATTACAAAACATACCATCTACTGATTCCTTTACTGAAAGGCTAAATTAACTGCACAGAAAAGATCGGAGTTACACGTTCTCTCCCTCAGCACTTTTAAGACGTTGCTGCGCCGCCTTTTCACGCTGTGCCACTGGTATGAAGAAACCTGACGCGGCCTAATCCAACCTGTCACCACGCTCCGCAAGCCCTGAAGGGGGCTTGCCGTCTCCACGGAGATGTTTACAGGATTCTTTCTTGGGTCTTCGATTTCAGTATTTCATCAGGTTACATCTTCAGGTTCACTGGAAAGAATGTTTTCTGAGACCAGCAACAACTTTCCGTAGGCAAATCTCAAATCTTGTTTTCATTTCAAGAAAAGTGTCCTCCACTGACTCTCTCTGGACACTCCTGGGCCTCCAGACCCCCAGGCTGCGCCCTTGCAGTCTCCAGTCCTGGCCCCGTGAGGCGCGCAGCGGGGGCCTACCTGCTCTGATCCACCAAGCACGGGGCGGACGGATGCCAGGCCCAGGCCCCTTTCACCTGCCGAGTGCCCCGCGCCTCCCCCCACCGCCCGCCCGCGGCTCCAGACGGCCTGCCCTCCCTGCCGCAGCGTGCCAGGGCCACTGACTCGGCACGGAGGCGGGCTTCCCGTGCGCCCCAAGGCCACTCTCCCACTGCTGCCCTCACGCAGGCTGCTGTGAAAGCACAAGGGACACCTGTGCCTCCCCGACTTCCGTCCTTTGGGACTCTTCCTGGGGAGCCTGCGGCTGCACTGCCACCACCCTGACAGCACCCGCGCGGCCTTCTCTGTCAGAGCGGGTTTCTCTCCCTCGCTCTTCGTTCAGTTAAAATGACCGGAGGCTTTAAAACATTCTAACAAATATCAGTAGAATGAACAACTGTTAACATTTTGTCCTATTGCTCAGGATATTTTTTCATCAAGAAATAACACATTACAAAGTTAATGTCCCCTTTGTTTCTTCGCCTCTTTCTCTTTCCTCCCTCCTCGGGGGCAACAACTACGAGTTTAGTATGTCTCCTCCTCCTGTGTGCTTTTTAGAATAATCTGTTACATAAATTATGACATCTAGCACTATTTTGTGTGCGTTTCCAAGGGCATCCCTGAGCGGGGCTGTAATCGCACACAGTGGCTTTCAGACACTGCCAAGGCGCCCTCTGCAGCGCAGCCTTTCCTGGCCCGCCCGGCCGCAGACCCAGACAGCGCCTCCAGGCCGCCCGGCTGCCCGTCTCCCCGGTGGCAGCGTTCGCCACTCCGATGCTCTGTTCACTCGTACAAGGGTCCAACCACCATTTCCCATCATCCTTGATCCCGAGGCGGGCAAGCAGGGTCTGTCACGATGCCAGCCTAACCACAGAAGCCAGTGTGACACCCCACAACCCTCACAGTATGAAAATGGACTCTTTCCTGCTCCTTTGTTTGCCCTTCACTCTTATCTGGACACACTAACTTACAAGTACGAGCTTTCCCTTGTTGTGTCCTCTACAAATACCACATCTTGTTCAGCATTCTCATATTTTCTTTCCTTTTAAGTTCTTTTTCTGTGGTTCCTCAAATCCGTTGATCGCATGATCCTACACTGGATGTTGTTTATTGTCCTGGTTCTTTCTAAGGCCAGGGTCAGGGCAATGAGCTACACTGTTCATCACAGCTTCCACATGCTGTCCCCAAACACACACTCCCCCAGTCACCCCTCTGGCCTGCGTGCCCACGCCCCTCAGTTCTCAGAAAGATGGCACAGCATAGAGGAGACCACTAAGTCACATCTGTCCTGCCAACAGGGGGGTGGCACACAAGGGTCCTTACCTAAGCTCCCTGCATCTTGCAGATGTGCCAGCTACAACAGGACCCCCACTGGGACGCCCCTTGCTTGTCTCCTGATGGTTCACACCTCTACAGATCACAACTTGCTTAATCACTGTGTGGACCCCCCGATGTCTGCGGTGGGAGATGATCACCCTCACTTCAGTCTGAACTTTAAAGCAAGTAATTGTAATAGTATTGGGGCGGGGGTGTGAATATTGCAAGCAACTTCCTCCTTTACCAAACATGAAATATTTTCCTTTACTCTTTGTTCCTTTTGCTGTTTTTGGTGACTTTCAAGAGCAGGGTGCTACAGTAACCTAACCTGACTGCCCACCGAAAGGCCACTGTTTGGGCTCCCCGGCCCTCCAAACATGCCCCTGCACGTACCCATCTAGCACCCTTTGGGGCACAATTTTAAAAATACTGATAATTCCCACTTCTTCATCTGCAAAATGATGGAAAGAAACTAAAGAAAATTATGCCTTACACAGGTAATTAGTAGCAAAGCTCCAACTAAATCCTAGGCATTTCTGCTCTAACTAGATGCGATTTCGGTAATTCACTTAATCTAGGCTTCAGCCACCTCACGGGTGCACCGAGGCTCGGAAACCACAGGACCCAGAGTGCAGGCTCAGCCTGCGTGACCTTCACCCTTCCTGCCTCAGCGCTTACGTGATGGGACAGGTCGGGGGGAGCCTTTGGAAAGCAAAATACATTTTCTCACTTTAAACCTCTGGCTTGGTCTTCCATAGATAGAAATTAGTTTGCTTGCTTTTTACAGTGAATTTTCAATGAAAAAGACCTTCCTGACATAAGAAATATCTAATATTTTTAAACGGCCACATTTCAGACACCCTGGTCTTTCATATATTTTCCCGAACAATTAGGAAATAATTTCAAAATCAGATGTGACAGCCCCTTCCCAGTCACCCTCTTCTTTCGATTCTTCTGTGAAGGAAGCTGAAAGGTCAATGGGCAGGTGCCCAGCCTGTGCTACAGGTAGGAGCCATGCACGCAGCCTGGCCATTGGCACGCAGGGACAGCCGCTGGCAGGGGCTCCCGGAGAGCGCTCGCTGTCTGGGACCCAGCTGACGAGCGTTCCTTCCCCTCTGCCGCCTTCTTCCTTCCAGCCCAGAAAGCGGGGCGGGGCGGGGGGAGGGGGGCAGCTGTGTGCGCTAAGCCATCCTAGGTCGGATGGTGAGGTGTCCAGCAAGGACGAAAGCATTCCAAAAACCACGGACCTACCCGCATGGTCGCTTTCTTAATTATTTCTTCAGCCTGCCACACTGTGTCATCAGCCATGTCTCCCTCTACTGACTCTAACCTGTATTTACTGTATATTAACACTCTACCAGACATTACGGAAGGCAAAAGAACTTCAAGACATAGCCCGTGGCTTGTAAAGCTTTCGGTCTAATTGGGGAAGCCGGAGAACAGAGAAGTGCTGTATCATTAAGTATTAAATAGCACAGTTCTAATTATAGCTGCTGAGAGTTCAGAGAAGGTTTAGATAAAGCACACTAAAGGTTAAGACTGTCAACAAAGCTTTCCAGAAAAAAATGGAACTTGGAAGTCAGTCTTAGATGGGCAGATATGGAGAAGCGGCATTTTGAGCAGGAAGAAATACTGTTGAGCGATGATCCAGAGGTTAGAAAGCACAGGTACATATAACACACGTGAGAAGCGCAGAGAGCCCTTTCTGAAAGAAATACAAAGAAGTCTGCTCCCGCCGAGTCACATTATTTATAACCCCTTGAATGCGCCAGGCTCCTCGGTGTACCCCAGTCATCACTAAGACTCAGCCCCCTTGCTTTACGATGTCCCTAGAAGTCCCCGGGCTAGCTCAGGTGTCCCATCTCTAACCCTTCCTTGCACCTCAGCATAATCCTACCTTCTCACTTCCTCCTCAGTGCGGGGTACCGGTTTCGCCCTGGTCTTCAGACGGTGCTTCGCGGCGCTCGTCCCCGTGCCCCCAGAGCTGTGCGAGGCCCTGCGGCAGCACAGACACTGCAGGGACTGGACAGGTGCCTCAGTCAGAGACCAGGCCTGCCTCCGTTTTGGGGCCATGCTGCGAGACCCACGACTAAACAACGAACTAGAATAAGCTGGGAAAGCAATCGGTTAAAAGTCCGCCCTCACACCTGCGTGCACACAGCCAAACAGGCCAGGGAAGACACTCCGTGGCCGCCCTCACCATGAGCATCTCCTGCAGGTCCTCCTCGAAGGCGTCGATGTTGCAGTCGGCCTTCTCCGGGTCGTCGCAGACGCCGTGCAGCATGAACTGGTAGTACTGCTTCATCAGGAGGCCGCCCTTCAGCACCTCCTTGCACTCGCGGACCAGCTGCAGGGGACAGTTGTAGGTTCTGTCAGTTCCCGCATCCCGCCCAGGCAACCTATCGGCAGTCGCCGTTCCCGCGTAAACCCTTAAAAGGCTCACAGAAACAGACCTTGATTCTGAAAAACGGAAAATATTTTCCAGATTCTTACACAGATTATCTTAGTAGCCTCAACTGGATAAGAACAAGTAGTAAAAATAGAGCACTTGGTATGACAGTATGAATGCACAGAGAAAACGTCATACAGGCAAAAAATGACTTGCTATAAAACACACTTTCCTACAAATAAATTCATGTATTTTTAAAATTAATTTATCGTATTTTTCCCCCTTACCATTTAGCCCCCTTATATTCCTCTCCCACAAATAAATTTATATAGAAAACAAACCGTAGAAAAAGATGTATTTTTCTATTAGTTTACATTGTAAGAAAGTATACAAGAGAAAAATCTCCTGAAACTGGTCACTTTTAATCATAATAAAGATTCAAATATACTTACCACAGATCATGGTGGCCGTTATAATTTAGTATAGTTTACCTACTGTGACTTGTGGCTTTTACTATCAAAAAACTGTAATATTCACACAAACCAACCAACCTAAGATTAATCTGATAAAATTAGACGGAAGCCAAGGGAAACGAGGATGCAAAAAGATCAGTAAAACCCCACTACGCAGGCCCAGAAGGTAAAGCTGGGAAGGAGGGAGGGTGGGGACAGGAGATGGCCCGCGAAGTCCTTCCCATTAGTAACGAGTGGGCACAGGACGCCTCACACTCCCAGGCAGTGGGGACCCTGGGCGCAAGCTTACAGTCACAGTAGTTTTAATAAAAGTTAGCAAAAACACAAAAGCAGCCGAGGTGTGGCTACTGGAAAAATAAACTGGTACAAACTTTCTAGAATCTAAAAATACATACTCCCCCTTTATGTTTTATACTCAAGAAATCATCAGAGATGCAGACTACGTATCATGTATTATATATAGTTATTCAAAACAATGTGTATTAAGTTACGATGTACCTGTATAATAGAGCATTATTGAACCCATTTAAAATGTTTTGAAAAATATTAAAGGGTAAAAACTCATACATACTATTTTTTATTTTTAAACTTTTATGTGTACACTTTAAAGTATGTATAGTATGTATAGGAAAACGAATGGAAATACACCAAAATGTTATAGTGGTTATCTCTGAGTAACAAAATAACTTCCACTTATGTACTATTTTCTACACTTTTCAAATCTTCTAAACACAAAAATTGCTTTTACAAAGCCATTTTAAAGACATCCCTTATGTGCTTACAAATGAATCTTTGAATGTATTTAAGCCAAAACTTCTATTTTCACTCTAGTAGTGCTACATTAATCTAAGAAATGTTTTTTGTTTTAAAAATGTTTTAACAGAAATTACTCTTTAATCCTAACAACAGTCCCATTGGAAATAAACTCCACCTTCTTTCACCAGGTTATATTCCTGAAGTATTTGTTTCATGGGGAAGGGAAGGTGCTTTGTCAAGACTTCCTAAATGACCTCAGCAACATGGAGGACGAGCAACAAGCACCGGCAAGGCCTGGAACCCACACAGTGAGAAGCGGAGGCCTCAGGGAACCCCAGCTCTGCTAGGGGTTGGGTGGGAACTGCAGTGCGGACCAGAGGCAGGCATCGCGTCCACCGCTGCTGGCCACGCCCCTCCACGCCCTCCAGCAAGCTCCAGGCTGCTGGCCCTGCCCCCGCCTGTCCTTCCTCAGCCAGCACCCTTCTCTGGGCTCCATCCCCCGGGCCAGAGCCAAGGGGCTCCTCATGCTTCCGTCTCCAGGAGATGGACATGCGCAGTCTATAAACACACAACGTCTACTCTTCACACTCTGTAATGCTTATTTTATATAGCGAATGTCAATAAGGTAACATCATAAAACGCACACACGAACACACTTCAGCATCACTCTGCTTGACACAACTGCTTCCGGCCATAAAGCCCGTCCAAAATCAGCAACAGTGAAGAAGGCGGACGCTGCCACTCTGTTCACGCTCCACGGCTGCTACCCAAGTCCAAACGCCTCCCCTCTGCACATTCTAGAGACATTTATTTGTTGACTTGTAGCTTGCAGAGAATGAAAAAAAAAAAAAGTAAGGAACTTCAAGTATTTAAGTTTCCAGTCTTTAAAGACTGATACTTATAGGGCACAGAAGATCCTTTCATCGCCAGACTTTTACATCCTTTCCGACAAGGAAGTAAAAAATAGAAAGGTTGAGCCACAATCGTATCTTTGGGGACTGCATGTAAAGAACATCTTCAATTACCCTACAAAGAGCAGCTTAAAAACACAAACATATACTCATTTTTTCACTATTGGCAACAAACAGGAAAAAATACTCAAAAAAAAAATTATGAGCCTGTAGAAGAATATTATACAAAGCACTAGGTGTTTTTTAACAGCCTCTGACCCCAACCTGCTTAATGCTCAGCAGGGAGGGCTCCCCAGCAGGCCTCTGCTCCAGCCGCAGCTTCAGGCACTCGTGGATGACATTCAGGAGGACTCGGCAGAGGACGCGGAAGGCGGGCTCAAATGAGGGGAGATCCATGGACTTCAGCTCCTCCCAGGACACGGGGCTGCACCTCTGCTCCGAAGGAGGTGGCGACCTGGACAACTGCACGTAGTCAGAGCCCCACACGGGGTCCGGGAATTCAGAAAACTGGAACAAAAATGCAACCAAGGTTAAAAGGGCACGCACGAGGTTGTTGTTACAGACTATTATTCTCTATAGCTTATTGATAAATCTACAAAAGCCGTAATTGTACAGGAAAAATAAACTTTAGAATAATTTCACATTTCAACACAGACCCAAAAATTTCTAGTATTAGAAAACTGTAACAAAGACTAAAACCAAATTGTAATATTTCTGTTAAAAAAGTATAGTAGAAATAGAATCAGGTACACCTTTTTCATGCTTTCTATTAAAATGATCAGAACACTGATTTCTAAGGTTATACACAGTATTATCCACAACTATCTGCAGGCTGAGAAAACCAGGAAAGTGTTAAAATTCAAGAAAAGAGTATAAAACCAGGTAACCACATATGTAACATAAAAAACAGTGGATTCAACAAATTCTTTTGTTCATTTTTTTCTCCTAAGCTATACCGAACAACACTGATAGAAAAATAGAAAAAGTTCATAAAACTGACCTAGCTGGCCCCGTGCCCGCTGCTCCCTGGCGCCCTTGTGTTGCTGGCCTGCTGTGCTTTCTCCCTGTAAAACGGGGTCTGGAGCTTTCCCGTGGCTCTTAAACTCCTGGCAATGTCATGGTGACCAATTACATTCCAAGACCTTGCCCTCTCCTTTCCTTGAGAAAATTGAAGCCATCAAAATTTGAAACTCTCAGCCCTGGCTGGTGTGGCTCAGTGGATTGAGCACTGGCCTGTAAACCAGAAGGTCGCTGGTTCGATCCCCAGTCAGGGCACATGCCTGGGTTACGGGCCATGTCCCCAATAGGAGAGGCACCACACACTGATGTTTCTCTCCCTCTCTTTCTCCCTTCCTTCCTCTCTCTAAAATAAATAAATAAATAAAAACTTAAAAAAAATTGAAGTTCTCAACTTCAGCTTAAAGAGTCTCCAATTAACCGGAGTTCTGCTCTAAATGTCATTCAAGTCTACATTCCCTGCCACACTGGAAACTCAGCAGGTCTCCCCCAATCACATTCTTTTATGTTCAACACATAATTTTGCATTTAAATTAATACATACTTTAGTTTCCTGTAACAAGCAAAGGTTTCTATTTAGACATATAATTTCAAAAATGATTGCCTGTGGTAAGTGTGAAGAGATTCAGTAAAAATCTTGAAACCCTGAATTTGGATAGTATGAAGTTGTGACGTGTTATGTGTGTGCTGTTCTGACCACCCCCGAGAACTGCAGTGACCAACCGCATGAGTGGCGCTGGGCTGTGCCGGCGCCTAGGCACAGCCCTGGAGTCACGTCCCAGCCAGAGAGCTGGGGGCCACGGGAAGGTGCCCCGGGCTCCCAGTCTGCAGCAGATGCGCGAGAGAAGCCCCACGGCCTGGTGGATCAGTTAACCAGAGAACAGGCAGAGACTTCTTACCAGGGGTGTGAAATGAGGACTTCAGCCAAGAGTGAAATGGTTAACTAAGTCACGGTTTAACGCATTGAACCCAACAGCATGTAGTTGTTACAGGGAACTGAGCGTTCCTATATGGACAGATCCAAAGTACAGAATATGACCCACCAGTCACAGAACAAGTACAGCATTATACTGCTTTCTTGGGAAAAAATCATCTATGTTACATACAAGGATACACAGATATATGTGCACAGAAAAGTCTAGAAGATACAAACTAACTACTACCCTGAGCAGGGGTAGAGGATAAACAGTAACTTTGCTTTTTCATCTACTTCAAAAAAATGAGTAAAACAAAAGCAAACATACTGTTTTACAAAATGAAGAACTAGGTCAAAACAGACTTTATGTTATCCTTCAAAAGTCAGTGTCTACACTTCTGGTCTAGGGAGTCACATCACCAGCAGAAGTGGCTACGGGCCAGCAATGTGCCGTGACCGGGAGGCGGGGGCCGCACGGTCGGGAGGAGTGAGAAGCAGCAGCAACGTGGCAGACTGGGGGACGCCACGCGCGGCCAGGTGGGCATGAGCACTTCGTGTGGACAGACTTCCCAGTGTTGAGGAAAGCAAAAACTCCAGCGCTTCATGAGAAACCTTCTCATTTTTAAATGCCGGCCCTTAAGTCAAAGGCATTTAAAGCACTGTGCGGGACAAAACTGAGCTTCAGGAGGCAGCACATGCACGGCTAGAGCACGGCCTACAGCCAGTGCTGGGTCCTCGTCCTGCTCCCGCACTCACCGGGCGGTCATGCAACCCTGACCTCTAAGGGGCAAGGGTCCGGCTGCACAGCCGCTGCTGTCCCGGATCCAGTTTTCTGCTGCAAGCTGCAGCACAACTGCCTACTTTTCCTCCTGTAAGTATGCTTCCTGTAAGAAAACACAAAACCTTGGGCAAATGAGCAAATATGTGTTTGCTGGCTTCACACCTCCCTCCATTAAAAAGTTCGTGTAACTTTACTAATGAAAGCAGAGTGAATAAAAAATTGCCCGTGAACACTGGATGAAGGACACTGATTGTTACGGGGCTGGGCTGGGGGACGGGGGCCCCGCTCCTGGTGGGCCGGCCACGGGGAAGCCGCTGCTGGTTGAAGACGCCTGCACTCCGGCCGCACCGCGGGAGACTCACATTTGCCTATGACCCAGAAGGGGCGGGTGTCTGTGCCTGCCAAAGCTCCCAGGGGCGCGTGTGCAGGACTGGATGCCATCAGCACAGCATGAAGCCTGTGATCCCCAAAGCCTGGCTCTGATTCCCCCCAACAACCTATAGCTTCTATGACTTAGGCAAAGTAATCTACTTCCCTTATTTGTAAACTATAGAAATAACAATGCCACTTCATTCAGTTAGCATGTCTGGCACATGGTAAGTCTCGATAAATGGTAGCTGTCATTGTTAAGGATGCATATCTGAGTTTCTACATGCTTTGTCCACTCTGACCATGAAGGGCAACCTCTTCAGGGTTTCTTGTGCTTATAGAAAACATTAGCGTAATTACTGTGAGACCCAAAGACAAATGCTAGTATCACTGGCCACTAAACTTCTAATAATTATATAATCATTTCTCATTCAAAAGAATTAACAGAATTACCAAAAACCCCCTTAGAGTTTGAGGTAATATGCAAAGTCAGACAGCTAATTTTTTCATACATTAAAATATATTTATTTTTTCTCATTTCTCTAAAATGAAAATATATGTTCACTTTATCTTTCTCCTCTTCTGAAAATTATAAACTTCATACAGTGAATCAAAAAGGAGCACAGGTTAACCATATCACAGTCCATAGCTCAAACATTTCATGGGTATTTAACATTCTAAATGCACAAGACCCTCAGGACTGTACGACACTGAACTCCTCGGTGTGCACATTTAGAATCCCCTGGGACCCTGGGAGCTCCCGGAGAGAGTGCAGACGGAGATAAATGAATCTAACACATTGCAGATGCATGATACGACCTTGCGGGCGGGCGGTAAAGGGAAGAGGGGCTAACCTCCCCAACTCTGGAAAGCTGTGTTCTGTGAGGCTCAAGGCAAAAAGAAAGGAATTATACCCTGCACTCTAGCTGGTGAACTTACTCCTCTTGGGAACAGAGGGAGCAACCCTGAAACCGCCTTACACACATACTAGGGGCACGCCAACGTGTAAATCAACAGCAGTGACAGGGGAAGCCAGGGAGCTCGTAGTCGCCCGTTACAAACAGTGGAGGGAGGCAGCCAGGATGCAGCCTGTTGGGCTGGGTGCAGCTGGGGACACCAGCGTGGACTCAGGTTTACTTTCAACAGAGAGATGCAGAGCGCCAATGCCAATTTATGCACAGACACACACGAGAAGACACACCTGTATTTCCAAACTCCGTCACTGACAGCCTAGAAGCAATGACATCCAACAGTAACAAACACAGCCAATGCCCCGGTCTTCATTTCCACACACCATTCTCCAATAAAAGGAACGAGAGTTCCTTGGGGGAACAGCTGACTTCAGGGCCAGAACAGGAAAATCATGAGGTGACGCCAAAGCATAAGGAAGCGTTCAAAAAGCACACGAAAGGCACCACCACACACAAAGGAATGGGCATGTCCTATGGGACCCAGAAGCCTCCAAGAAGCGCTCCAATGGCTGAAACAGAAACAGTGTATGCAACCAGATAAATAACAATAGTATTGGATGGGCACACAGGCTGAAAATCAAATACTGGGAGTTCATACGGGTTAGGCAGGAGAGAGCAGGCCCATCTCCCACACAGAGGAATCACAAACAACACACTCCCGTCCCTGGGTGGGACGACTTCCCCTTCTCTTGAGTGGGGGCCGAGCTGAGGGACTCGCTTCCCAAGAATGCAGTGTGGAAAGGGAAAGCAGGGAACTTGTGGGGGGACCTGGCAGACACCACCTTAACCAAGGGGCTAAGGTCAATGTCCCCGGTAACAGCATAATGTCATGAGGGTGTCAACCCCATGGCATTCATGCCCAGGCCCATAAACCCAGTCTGATGGTGAGAAAACAACAGACAAAACCAGATTCAGAGACATTCTATAAGCCACCCAGGTTGTGAGAAAACAAACGGCAAAAACTATCACAGACCACAGGAGACTGGGAAGGCGCATGGGCTGAATGCAACACGGCGCCCTTGACCAGACCGTGAGCCAGAAAAGGCACATGGGCAGAAAACCAGAAACCCAAATGCCGTCCACAGTTTAGGTAACAGTATTCTATACCCATGTTACTATGTTAATTTTGACAAATGTATCCGAGCTAAGATTTCATTAGAGGAAGCCGGATGAAGAGCATATGAAGCTCCGTGCCTTAAAAAGTTTTCTAAAAATTTAAAATTATTCCAAGATTACATATTCATTCAAAAAACAGAGACTGCATGGGGGTAGATGTGACATTAAGGAGAACTCTGTTATGTATGTTTACATGGTCTCTTGTTTTAATTTTTAAACTAAAATTGTAAATAATATAGTAAAATGTAACTGTAAATGACAGAACAAAGCCCACACTTCGCTGCGACGACTCTCGGGAAGGGCATCTCGAACTCCAGCCCTGCTGAGATGGCCCCTGCCAACCCTGACAGAGGTCAGGGAGGGGGCACCCTGCAAGCGGCAGCGCCGGGGAAGGGACGGCACTCGGCAGCCGGAGGTCCCCGTCCTGCAGGGATGCCCGCACGTGTTATTATGAAGTGGCGACTGGACACACTCATTCCTAAATTTGATGTCAACCAAGCCCAGATTAGAGGAACTTAGATTACAGCAAGGTGGAGAAATAAACAGGAACAATGTGCTCCTGGGATGCTTTAAATACCAAGGGAGTAAGGAAACCAGGAAACAAATGAGCAAGCGTGAAAAACAACCGGGATCAATCTGGGCCCAAAAAAGGAGGAGAAATGAGTCCTGGTCTCTCTGTGGGCTCTCTTTTTTCCCTTTTGCATTATTATGTTGTCCTTGCTACCAGGAATAAAACTTTGGCTTTATTCATTCAGTTACTTAGATGTAAATAAGTTTTATGTGATGGCCGGGGAGTCTCATTTACAGCAATTTCTCTAGATAAGTATTTCCAAGATCCTAACAACTATTTTACAAAGTGAACTTTGGAAACTAACCCATCTGTCAATCAGAGACCACACATGTAATTAGAAATGTGTCCTGAGAATATGGATTTACAGAAGCTAGGGAGCAACAAAGTTATCTAATTTTGAACAAAACATTTGAGGCTTTTTATGATATTCATATTAATAAGACAAATTGCAAATAGTTTTTTTTAGTATCAGTAGTTGCAATTTTTTTCAATTTAAAAATTATGAAATATAATAAAAAATTTTAGAGGAAAACTGTTTTTATAAAGCATGCTTACAAGCCAAGGGGAATTAAATATATGACCAAATGTTATTTATAAACCCTAGTTACAAGTGACTTAATCATAAGGAATAAGAATATAAAGACATGAACCAAAAAATCAAGTATCATGAATATATTTCTTCTTTTCTACAAAACCCTTCAATTATATCATTACTATTATCCCATAAGTCATAAAAACAGTGCAAACTACAAGATACATACTGAGCACAAATGGAAGTTGGTCAAAATGTTTCTAACAATTAAGAATGATAATAGTCATTCTCAGATTTAAAAGGGTGCCCACTGCTCAATATGCCCTTAAAATACACAATTATTTGGTAATTAAAAGGTAAAATACATTTCAAAAACAAAAACACAGACTAGTCCAGCTCATACTGACTTATAGTTAGCTTCAAGGGAAGGTAAAAATGTAACAAAACTTCTTAAAAAGTCAGTCTATATTTGACCTCTACAGCATTTTACCATTTATACAAATGTTTTTTTAAGCCTCACAACAACCCTGTGAGATAGGTAGGAAGGTATTATAATAACCACTTTACAGATGCAAAGACTTAGGGTCAGAAAGATTGTCATTCACAAAGTTGCATGGCAAGAGACACATCAAGGAAAGGAACTGAGTTCTGACTTCAAAACTGTGGATCTTTCCCCAAAATACTCACTAAAAAGACTAAAGCAAAATAAACCCATGGGGGGAGTGTACACAGTATTCACATACATACACCTCTCCTTACAGAATTAAGTTCCTGAAATGGGCTTAAAAATAGTCTTACTTTCTCAGAGTTAATTATTTCAAAGCCTCATCTTTAATCAATATGGATTAATCTCCAATACAGAAAAATTTCTCCTTTTAGTTCTTCATTACTCTTTTATCATTTGACAAACACAATATTTTATAAACCAAAATTTAAAACAGGGTCTCCTGTACTTTATTTTTTTAAAAGCAAACAATCTACAGATAATTTTAGTTTTAATAAACAAATCTTTAATCAAACACTTATTAAGCTTCAAATTTGTATGTTTCCTTTCTTCTACATCAAGGATAACCTTTTCAGTTATATTTCGCTTGGTCAAACCAAAGGAACACACCTTTGATGGAAGTCCAAAACTACGGGCTACCCACTACTGTCTTTTTTTTCCAACATAAATTCTAACAAAATTCAGTGCACCCGTTCTCAGTGCTTTTCTTGCTCCAGCACATCTAAGGATGCAAAGCATTCCGTGAGCAGTAGTACTGGGTCACTGTGAGAGAGGGTCTTGGGGCAAGGGAGTGCGGGGAACAGACAGCGGCTTTTAAGAAGCTTGGACAGGCCCGTCGCAGCCCACCACCAGCCCTCTCCCATCAGAACCACTGGGTCACGGACGCAGTTAGGCCAGAGTCTTTTCACTTATATCACTTCCAAGCCAGAGCTGCACAATGAAAACTCATCATCAACTCTGTTTTGCCCACGTGTCCTCGATAGACTTGACCCACTCAGACCAAAATCCTAGACCAAAGTAAATTATTCCCCATGTGAAATATATCACAAATCTTTATTACAGATCTAGGTTTGCTCTACTGATTTTGAATACGGGCCTATAATAAAATCTTATCATGAAATAGTTATGTATGGACTAAAAGAATGATAAAACTCATTTGCTTAAAAAAAAAGTACATAAAAAATCATTTGAAGTTAAAATACCATTCAAAGAAAATCACAATACAGATTCATTTTTAAGATTTTAAAATAATACTCAAAGTAAACTCCTATAGCTACAAAGTGCCAGCTCATTCTGCAAACATCTAGCTCTATTATAAGACTGCTAGACCACTCCTCTTAAGGGCTCATGACCTGACCATCAGTTAAAAAAATTTTTTTTCAGATCATGTAATAAACTGTTTTTTTTTTTTTTAAACCGTATATACTCAGGCATATAGCTACTAACACTTAAAACCACAGCCTCACACAGGCAGAAGGGAACTCAAAGATCTGGGTCCTTCTGCTTTCGGCCAAGTGACCATGCACATTTAACATTCACCACAGAAAAATCGTGTGCACTTTTACGCTCAAGAACAACATTATCCAACAGTATGGCCCTTTGGTCTTGGCACCTTTACCTTCGATAAAGAATTTCTCTATGTTTCCTTTGCAAAGAACTGTCCATCAGCTTCTGAAGTCTTAAAATTAACTTTCTTAACTGTCAAAACTGAAAGTGTACAAAACTTAATTTTAAACCACTTCCTCTAACCTCTAAAGGTGCCTATGCGCCTCCCACAATAATCCCCACCAACTGAAACACATCTTTGGTAATAATTAAAGACTTCCCTTAGACCTCCATCACCAATGCTAACCTTACCGAACAGTGTATACCTTTTTTTTCCCCTTCATTCTCACATCTCTCTACAATTCAAATTTAACATCCAGTGACCAAAACCGGACATGCTTCTCAAAAAAGGAGTACACTATTGTAAAGAATAGAGAAAGAACTTCATATATCCATGACTTTGGATGCCATACTCATTTTAAAACATTTGAGCATTACGTTGACTTTTTTACTGACTCACATTCAACCTGTGGCCGACCCAGGACTGTGGCTTCCTTCCCTCTTTATTTATACCTAGCCCATCCTTCTCTGTCCTGTATTTATATGGTTGCATTTTTTCCCCTCCACACACTACTTTACACTTAGTTCACAAAATTTTGTACAGTTTTCATAGATCCATTTCCCCATTTAACACAGCATTTATAGAAATGTTTAAATCTGCACTTTAAAATAACAACTTGTGCCTTAAAAATCTCAAGATTATGAAAGTATGCAACAATCAACACAATGTACACTGTCATTTACAAGCAATACCGGAACTAAGGACGAGAGCACCCAATGCCTGCTGGAAACCTACCTCGGTGGGCTGGTCATTCTTCACTAGGGCTATCCGTGCCCTTTGCAAGGAACCGTCCATCAGCTTGTGGAGTCTTAAAATGAGCTTTCTCAAACCCATCTGCTTCAGTGCTTTGTCTACAAACGGTCTATAAATAGAAGTCAGACAATGTCTGCTAAAGCCTGTTTCTGTGCTGCAGTCTGGTGCTTCCCAGCCAACAGAATCATCCTCCGATTCCAACCTCTCGAGCCGCTTCTGCGCGCAGGCCTGCGGCTGGAGGGTGCAAGCGTGGATAGCGGGCTGCCTGGGCTCTGGGGCTCTGGGACTGGAGACCTGCTCTTCTGCACTCTCATCCGAGCTGCTCTCCAGCTCCTTCAGCTCTCCTTCTGTGTCGTCACCCTCGTCGTCCGGCTCGTTGCCTTTGGATGACCTAGGGGAAGCGATTTCAAACACTGGCCAGCCAATGTCTGATAGATTCTTGATGCCCAAAACAGTGCCCATAATCCTTAGCTTCTGGTTTAAGTCTTTTGTGATGTTTAACCACAAACAGAGCGCCTGCACCCTGTCCTGGAAGTCTTTCGCAGCATATTTTTCATAGTCCTTCTGAAGAGCCTGCAACGATGGATAAAGTGCTTCTATGTACTCCAGCAGCTCCATTATCCGTTTCACCTGCTCAAATGACACCCTCTGACGCTGCAGGTGCTCGTGATACATGGAGTAGCCCGTGACCCTCGTTCCGTGCGGGGCCTCGCACTGCCCTTGTACCGGAGTACCATTAAAACTAGCTCCATTTCTAACAAAGGCAAAGCTCCTGTAGTTAACTTTGAAAGTAAGGATTTCATTGATAATGTCTGGTATGGCTTGACGGGCTGTATATAAAAAGAGGTCCTGGTCGTTAATGGTCCGTCCCGCATGCCAAGCCTGCAGCTCTAACCAGATCAGCTCATTCGATCGGTTAAGCCAGAAGGCAGATGTGTTCTCCTGTCCTCTCTGCTCCCTGTCCTTCTTCTTAGAGACTGAGGTAAGCTTCAGCAGAAGTCGTAAAGTTTCAAAAAACTTTAGGCGGTCTGCTGGACAGTCAGTCCTGGAAGTCTGGCGTGCAGTGCGCGCTATAGGCATGGGCACGGACACCGGAAGCTTGGCGTGGCTGCAGCCGAGACTGAGGTAAGGCTTATTGAGATCCACGTCAGGAATCGGCTTTTTGGGCAGGGACCCACCAACCGAGTCCAACATGAAAGAGCACTGCACGTTTTTCTTGTGGTCGCGCTCGGTAGTCCTGATAGCCGCCCTGATCTTTTTCTCCTGCTTGTAGCTGTACTCTTCCACACTCTCCCCGGTTTTTCCAGTGTCTTTATGTGGAGGCTGGGTCGATGCATTCATTTTTTCTATTAAAAAATATACATGACATTATATTACCATAAAATATGAAGTTAATGTCAAGACTGTCAATAAAGCTCACAATCACATGTATTTATGTATTTATATTTTCAGGCTGTTGATGGAGGAAAAAAATTATACCCTACACAGAAAATTAAAATAAAAATATATATAACAGTCCTCTCTAAATTTTTAAAAAAGATTTTATCCTTTTTCCCTGCTGCACTACACTCACTCCTATCTAAAATTCTCTACTGCTAACCTACCCCGAACTGCTGGCCTCAACACTGCGAGGTCAGCCCCCCGCCCGGCATGCCTTCACAGACTGCCGCCTGCCACGTGCGGGGAGAGGCTGCACAGCAGGGCTCCCAGAAACCTGGTTTGAAAAACACCTTCGAGCCCTTCCCTTTCCTTGAACTAAATGAATTAACTCAGAGCAAATCATACATTTTCTGAGTCACTTTTCTCATTGGTAAAATGAAGTAGATTGAGGAAAGAATCCTTACGGTGCTTCTCATAGAAAACTGTAAGACAGAAAGACAAACACCATATGATCTCTTCTATAAGTGGAACCTAATCAACAAAAGAAGAAAAATATAACCAACATTGAAAGAAAAAACAAACCGACAGTAACAAGAAGGGAGGAGGGAGGTGGGTAACAGGGAAAAGAAGGGGAAGGGTCAAGTCAAGGAACATGTATTAAAAAAACTGAAAGATGGTGGGCAAAAATGTACTCCTTAATTTGTTCTATTCCTTGCTTTCTTCTCAGCCACAAATGAACAATAACATTTTAAACTTAACACTAAGAAAACAGAAGACATATAGATTAACTTAGTATAACATGCCTAGTCTTGTTATACTGACACACAAAGTCATTCAAAATTAATTCAAGAAAATAAACACACTTTTCCTTCAAACAACAGAAAAAATTCTTTTAATTCTCGAGCTATGAAATGAACACACACACGTTCCCTCCTGTTAGCACTCTGGCGCGATTAAACACCTACGCCTTACTAAAATCCCTCATTCTGTTGCTTTCTAGATACAACACTCTTGGGGTTCTCTTCTCCCCGTTGAGTCACTCCTTTCCAAACTGCCTCCGTAGGACTTGGCTCGCTCCACAGAAAGTTCACGTACCTCAAAGCGCCGCTCTACCGAACACCACCTGTCTTACCCACCTCTCCCCGTGGCCGCCTCCCCTTCTCCTCCAGGTCCTGACAGCCTCAACCTGTAACCCCTTCCCACTCTCGCCTCCACCTTGCACACGTGCTTTGTTTCACTGAATCTAGGACACACATTTTGTGTTTGTACATCTCTAAAATTAGAACATGTGTTATAGTCAATGGTGATATATTTTAGAAACACTAATGTATTTCATTTACATATATGTACATAGATATTGTTTTTAAAAAATATACCTAAATATTAAATGTAGAAGAGTACTTTCAATAACAAATATTCTAAGAACACACTATGTCATCAATTGTAAGCAGTTCTTAGTACATATTATAATATGCCTTAAGATGTAATAAAATAGTATATATTTACATGGGTTAAAGACTAAACAATTGACCAAAGATATTTGTTAAAAACCAATTTACCTCCCAATCAATTAAATTATTTTAATTGATTTTATTGGGGTGATATTAATAAAATTATATAGGTTTCAGGTTACAATTCTATAATATAATACATCATCTGCATACTGTATTGTGTGTTTACCACCCCAAATTAAATTAGGTTTAAAATAAGAATTTTTAAACAAATATTCCTAAGAGCACTTCCAACTTAATTCACAGAATATTTAATTTCCTTTATGACTCCTCAAAAAGGATTCTGTCTACAGGGATTTGTGCTTATTTTAATATAAAACTATTAAACTAGCAATATTTTTAAAAGACAGTATTTTTTATTTGTGGTTCTAATTTATTTTATCTCTGAATATCTTAAAACTTTTTACACAGTCCGTTCAAGAAATTCCTTCACAACTCTAATTTCTAGCTAGAAATGCTCATCAACCCTCATTCATTAAAAACTTGTCAGGTCAGCCCTTTGCCTCCCTTTTACTGTTTTGCCTAAAAGTGTTCTTTATACCTTTATTAACATAGAACATATATATCATTCATGTCTACTTAGTTAAGAAATGGCTATTTGAAAGCGAAGTAACAAGTGCTTCCAGATTTACACTATATTTCATTTTTTGAGATACAAACCTTGTTTCTGTAAAATACAAAATGATATACACATGGTATCACTGTTTAAGACTGGAGATAAAGATAACAATTTCAGTTTTTAATACACTGAATTCGATGTCCCTATAGGACATTGCATCTAAATTCAGGAGAGAAATTTAGATACTGATTGGAAAATCGTCAATATATAAGATGACATTTAATAACAGGAGAGTACCTAAGAACATCCGTGAAAAGTGTGCAGAAGCAAAGTAAACCTAGAACAGAACGTATTAACTAGTTTACGCCTCCAAATAAATGCCACAATCCCATTAGTCTGCAGAAAGAACTTTTAGCAAGCCTAAAAAACTAAATTGTATAGATTATATACAAACTTGGTAAGCCTACCTTACTTCAGCATGTAAATGGTATCTTACACAACTTCCTAAAATTCTGCGTTTATGAAAAGCAATGGTTTAATATTTGGATCTACAATATGTGTAAAGAGATTTAAACCCCAGTCTAGCCACCATGCAAAAAGAAGATACCAATCTGCTTTATCAAGTAGCTATATTTTCCAAATAATACATTTGTGATGGAGAGAGGAAAGCAAGGGAATCTTCCAATGACTGATGACCAGGAGGCCTCCCTACAACTCTACGGGGCCCATCGGTGAAGGGAGACCCGCGAAGCACTGGGGGTCCCAGGAAAACCTGTCAGCCCAGAGTCACTTTCCCAGCACTTTCTGCTCTGTCGTGACCCACTCCGACATGAGCAAGCAACTTTTACTAAAAGTTTTTTAAGAATAAAATAGAGTAAAATCCCATTACGTACTAATGGACGGGTTGGTTTGTTCCATTTTCTGTTAATACTAAATTCCCCTGTAATTAAGAAAAAGTCAAATACAAACAGAGCTTCCGAAAAGGAGAATGTATGAAAAGTATATAGAATGTTTTACACAAGTTCTAATTTTAGACTACAACACTAGTCCCTAATAGCTTTAGTAAGGCTGATGGGGGCATCCGGTCTCCCAAGTGGTTATAAAAAATTAAATGGCGCAACTTGGTAGTGCTATTAAAGCAAACCTCGAGAGTAGTTATGTTTTCCTTTGGTCAACCAATAATTCTACCAAATGATAAGAGGAAAGGAAAACGAAAAAAATGTGTAAAATGAAACTGAAAGCAACCAAGTAGCAAGCCATATGCTTCACATGTTTAAATGATGTAAGACAATCAACTGAGCTCTCCACCATCCCCACCTAGAAATGGCTCTTTAGAATCTATACAAAACGTATTTATATCAAGTTCTCCCTTACCTGTGTGGTCAAATTCCACACATTGCCCTTCCTTGAGTGCGCCAAAGAGAAAGAGCAAACCCGCAAGATGGTCCTGGGGAAATGAGGCACTAGACTGTCAGCTCAGAAAGGGCATAGGGACCTTCTAGTTCAAGGTGCTCAAATTTCAGTAAACGCTAAACATCACTCAGGTTCTTGCTGAAGGTCAGATTCCCGAGCCCACTCCCAGTGTCTCTGATTAAGCGTGGGGAGAATGACGCCACACTTTGGGAAGCACTGGTCTACTCCATCCTCTTATTTTCAAGGTCAGGCCTTCAAAGGAATTGCCATTATCCTCACCACAACATGGCGATGAAGACAGCCAGCCACTGAGCCCAGGCGGTGAGACGGGCGCCAGAACAGAGCTCCTAACCACCTTCGGCTGTCACACCGCCTTTACAAGGCTCAGGTCACCACGGGGCACTGCGGGTCACCAAAGACAGGTGAGACGTTCAGCGCCATAAAGGAGAGGTCACAGCAGGCTTCAAATTTGTAAGGCTTCAAATAAGGCCACGGACTTGACCAACGGCCCTGAGAAGCGGATTCTGCCTAAACAAGGGGAGCAAGGAAGGCCGGGCGGGTATGTGAAGCCAGCGAAGAGCATAGAAAAACAAAGGCAGGCAAGAGGAGAGTTTGGCCAGAACCGTGAGTCTAACTGCTAATGCTATAGATTTAATTTTTATAAACAGTAAAAACATTTGAAGAATTATGTCCACATAAACAGTTCATGACCATGGCTGCCATCCCTAAAGAAACCGCGTTAAAGGTTAGCCTCACCTCCCTTCAACACGCCAGGCCCTCAGCTACCTGTTCATCCCGACAGGCCCCGGGCGCTCAAAGCTGTCCGCGCAGACGCGGGCGGGCCGCACGCCTGGGACGCCGAAGGCCCAGAGTTCCGCGCGGCGCGCAGGCAGGAGCCCGCAGGCTGCAGCCGGCGCCGGCGCCCGAGCGCCCCTCCCTGCGCGGCGCCGCCCGGCTGTGCCACGTGAATCCGGGCGGGCCTGCTGAGCCACGAGAACGCAGTCCACGCGCCACAAGGAGCCTTACAACATCCACCTTTTCATCTGTATTTTCTGAATTCCTACAACAAATGTGTCGTCTTTTGCAAAAAGAACAAGTTATCTAGGGTTTGGGGCCTTGATCCTAGATAGCTACGAGTCAAGTTTCATTCGCTTCTTCGCCTGGAAAATGGCAGAAAGGGAAGAAAGTGGTTTCTAAGATCCCTTCCAGATCTAAAGAAATTCTGTAATTTCATTTAATAAACAAGTGAAAAAAGCTGAGGAGGAAAAGCGACAACCTGCCCTTCTCCCTCTATCTCCCCCACAGCCCAGGTGGACAGGAAAGCTCGACAAGCATCTAGCAACGGGCTCCCTGACCGACGGAGGGGGTGGCCGGCCAGCCCGGGGCCTGCGCGCGGAAACACTGAGCCTGCTGCGCCCTCCGAGGAGACATACCCACCGAGAACCAGCTCCAGACACAGCTCCGCCACCGCCTCAGGCCTCCCGGCCTGAACGAATCTGCTCTAACCCCTGGCCTCCGCTCCCAGGTCCACAGAAGAGGGAAACCGTGCGCTCAGCCCGGCCCCTGCTTCAAAATGGCGGGGCCCCCGCGGGACGCGAGGGCGGCCAGAGGCTGGCACCGCCCACTTCACCGCGGGCCAGGCGCACGCGCACCTATGCGGAGGCTGCGATGACGGCACTGTTAGAGATCAGGAAGTTGTTGGCATTTGAAAAATTTCTTTGCGAAAACAAGGATTGATTTTAAAGATGAGAAGCTGCAATGGAAAGCTATTAATTTCCCAAGGGGGTAAGTGCAGGCCACAGTTTAACACCCTATGGCAAATCAAGCTTTGAAAGAAAGTGGAAAACCATCTTCCCTATAAGAAAGAAAAACAAGTTACACTTAGGGATGCCTCCATGGACAAGGCTTCACTCAAGCAAATGAGCACAATAAAACCCACTTCTCTTGCCCTCCTTCTTTTTCAAGGAGGTGCTGTGACAGGGACACAGAGTGAACCTGCCAGCTCGCCCCCCTGAGAGCTCAACGCCGGGGCGCCTGGCGCGAGGACAAGCTGGCTGGAGAGAGAGGGAGAGCAGGTGCTGGAGAGAGAAATGGGGCTGGCCCTGCGGTCGGCAGGGGGCGTGTGTGATGGGGCGGTCTCAGAAGAGACAGAAAATGAAGTCCGTCTTTTGCAGTAACAGATGGATGAATTCCAGAAGGCTTTGCAACCAATCGATCAGTTTTAGGACAAGTGGTTTGCTGAAATGGACAGGGAAATGCTAATACCATAGGCTTCAGCGACCTGGGTTTCCATGCCCGAAAGCAGGGTCCAAGGAGGCGGCAGGTCAGCACGAGCTAGTCACCCGCCTCAGACGAGGACAGCTGTGGCTGCGAGGAGGCGGGAGAAGAGGAAAATAGAGAGCACTCCCGCTTCCCAGAGCCTGCGACTCTAAGCACAGAAAGCAGTAGCGCCCGCATCTGTCTGTGGTCACGTGGTCACGTGGTCACGGGTGCGGCGTGCTGCCCAGGCATGTGCGGCGCCAGAGGGCGGGCCAGGCGCTCCAAGGGCAGCCCCGTGGTCCTGGCAGCTCGCGCGGGCCTCCGGCTGCCTAGAGCGCCATGGGAAGGACAGTCTGGCTCTTCCTCTCCCAACGGCCGCTACGGCCAGCCCACCTGGGAGAAGCCAGACACTTCCGCCGATGACGTTCAAAGGGAAAAAGAAGGCCCATGGACAAGAATGTGGTGATTGAGGGGTGGGGGCGGGGGGGGGTTTAAGCGGGAAAAATGGTAATGACAAAAAAAGAAGGAAAAACAAGGGCTCTCTGTCTCATCCACCCGCAGGCACCCGGGATGAGTCTGTTGATTTCCCCACACTCAGTCTCTTCCACAATCTTATTCCTTTCTACTCAAAGGAATGCAAATAACTTCCTTAGGAAAACCCTTTCTGTCTCAGGAGACTTATTTTCTCCTTTACTAATAAAACAGCTAATGGTGAAAATGATAAACATACATGTAAAAGCTGCATTAAAATCGAACTTAAAAAAAGATATAACGTTGGGTAGAAAGGCTCAGTCGGTGGTCACATGGTGTATAAGGACTGTGGCCCCGAGCGCCCTGCGCACCCGCCCGCTCGCGTGCATCTTTCCAAGACTCGCCTTTCAAACTGGAGCGGCTAGCAGGCCTCCCCAGTGCGTTCCTCTGGTGCTTGGCGGACAGGCGCTTCATCTGCCGCGGGGTGCTGGGTGGGGAGGTGCCATAGAGGTTCTCGGAATTCGTTTCATCGGAAAACTCCTCCACGTCCGACTCGGAAGTCTTGCAAGCCAAGCGCCCCCGTGTGCACTCTTGCCTGTGAGGGACAGGGAGCAGAGAAAATACTCAGGAGCGCAGCACGGGAATTCAAATTTAAACGACTCAGAATTTCGGAATTTCTCAAGAACTCCTTGTAAAACTTTGTCACAGCTGCGCCTGCCGGGCACCACCATCCCTCTGCACTGTGGAAACGAAACCCGCACGACCTTCTCCCAGTTCAGGGGACGCCACGGCGGGCTGCGGCCGCTCGTGCCACGTGGGCAGCGATGCGCACTGCCTGCTGGTTGTAAGGTTCTTTCCACTATAAATGGAAGTTTAACCCTAATAACCTTACAGGTTAAGGAGAAAAGAGCAAAGAACTAAAAGGCACAAAGCAGGCAGAACTGAGCACGCCAGTGTGCTCGCCACAGACCAGCTGAAGGGGCGCGGGGCAACCACCGAAGCACCTCACGAGACCCGAGAAACAAAAGGAAGAGCACCGGGGCCTGGGCAGGTCGACCTGTCTGCCTTCTCTGGTGCACAGAGCAACGCAGGGTCGGAGAGGGCGTTGGAAGGGGGGTGCTGTGGAAAAGGAGGGAGAAACGAGCTTGTCTTTGCCTTCAAAATGCAGCTCCTCGTTACCTTGGTGCTCTGCAAGCACTTCCCACCAAGTCTCTGTCCTCAGCCAACTTCCCAAATAATGATAGTTCTGTTTTTCAAAGCTAACAAGGTAAAACCTAATGTTATCAATTGGGAACACATCTAATTCCAAAACAGCAAACCAGAAGGAACCGATCAATCATCAAGCTCCTTTCAAATATTTATCATCAGTCTACACAATTCTGAATATTCTTTATAAAATATATTTTGTATTTTATAAACCTAACTCCCAACTATATCCAAGATATATCCAGATTTTTTTTTCCTGGAAGTTTATATCCTGATATAGAATCAAATCTATTTCAAACACATGAGGCGAGGAAAAAAAGAGCACTCTAAAATGTGTGATACCGTTATATTGAATGGCCTGACAAATAAAACTTTAGAAAATAAATGATCTTTCAAAAATAAAAATGCTGCAGAATGATACAAATTTCCAGCGCTGAAAGCTGTAAAGATCCCTGTGACAGGTTTAAAGCTGGTTTTAATCAGACAAGGCCACTCTAGAGACATTGGTGCGCCTGCCCCATAGTGTGTGCACCCATAGGGCACACAAGTAAAATACCCTTAGAGCTGACTACAACAAACTAAACCAGAAGAAAACTCAGAAATCAGCTTTAAGTGCACCTATCCCCTTAGGCTACCTTCTTATTTAAGACTCACAAGTCATATAACAAACAGCATAACTTTGAGATTCACTTGAAATGCCCTATCCATTGCTTCTATACTCACTGCCAACAGCTGGCTTGGCTGATGAGAGGACATGCTACAATGCCAAGGTCGCTAATTTCATTTCCATTCATGTCAGTGGTTACTGGCGCAGGCCTTGGAATGATTAACAGCAAAGGCCCTGCAGTGTGAGGGACAACTTAGGTTCAAACCGTGCCCGTCAAGGTTACTAGCTGTGCAGGCCTTGGCCCAATTATTTAAAATCTCCACAGTGCACGTGTACATAATAAGGGTAATAAATACTCAGACTCCATGCCAGAGATTAAATCCAGTAACAGCCCTGGCTGGTGTGACTCAGTGGACTGAGTGCCCGCCTGTGAACCAAAAGGTCACTGGTTTGATTCCCAGTCAGGGCACGTGCCTGGGTTGCAGGCCAGGTCCCCAGTTGGGGCGTGAGAGAGGCGAGTGTTCCATGTACCCCTCACACATCCATGTTTCTCTCCCTCTCTTTCTGCCTCCCTTCCACTCTCTCTAAAAATAAATAAAGAAAATATAAATCCAGTAACGCACACTTGACGCAGGCAGGCATGATGACAGAGGGAGGCGGCACAGCGTGATGGATGCCACTCACAGTCCAGGCCTCAGAGTCGCTGCACCCGCTCACCAGCCACTGAGAGCACACGAGCTCTTTAGGCACCTGCTCAACACTGAGAGTGAAGTCTGCTCCTGAGTTCAGCATGATACAGGACCAGAAACCATTTTAACATCTTTAACAGTTTTGATATCATTTCAAACTCAGTCTTATAATTCCTCTCCTCAAATTTCCCCCTAAGGTAACAGTCAATGGTAAGAAAGGACTTTGTATCTATTTTATTACTTTTATATCCCCAACAGTTCCTAGCATAACAGTTCAAATCCATTCAGTGCTTTCAAAATAACGCATTTCACATATCCCAGTGGAAATCTCCAAGGAGCCACAGCACAGTCAGATTCGTCGAGGCCAGACACCAGGGGACACCAGATGCACAGGAAAATGGAGCTGGGCCTGGGAGAACAAATGCGCCCCGTGCAGCCCACGCCCTTTGCCGTGAAGAGGAACACAAACTCGAGAGGTGGGAGCCAAGTCCCGGCCTTACTGGTCGGTGAGTGCACACACAACGAACTTTCTAAGACTAACAAGAAAACTAATCTAGAATTTTTAAGGTTAACATTGTAAAATATTTCAGGAAATTCAGGTGTGAAGATTCAAAAAAATCAAAATAATGGAAATGAAGGCTTTGTGGAAAATACTGACACACCAGCAGGCGTGCACTAGAACGCAGTGTGTCCCACTAGCATGCAACAGCAGCACGTGGACGAATGAAGAAAGAAACGCCCCACGGAGGTGGAGGGGATCTTCTGAAGAGGGGCTGAAATGCTGTGCTTCGGCGAGCCAAGTTTCCGAAGGGCAAGCCTCCAACAGCCATGACCTCAGCACGATTTATTTTAGATAAATAACCCCTGGCCTGGTCCACAGGGAAACAAGTTTTACACTTTAACAGACAAAAAAAATCTATGAAAGCACATTTAATAAAAATTTAGTTAACTTTTATGAAGAATTTAATTTTAGGAAACAGAAAAATATATGTTTCGTACTGTCCTCCAAGTGTAGACAAGACATTGAGTTGGCCAAAAAGTCCATATGGTTTTTTCTGTACAGTAAGACACACTTTTCATTTTCACCAATAACAATTTTGATTTGGATATTTTGAGTACATTGGCTATCTCTCATGTGGTATGATGTCAGTTGTTCTCAATCAATGTCTTGATTTGATCGCTGTCAAATTCAGCTAGCCCATCTGACTGTGAAGCATCGTCCAGCAAAAAATCTCCAGCACAAAACTTCACAAACCACTTTGGACACATTCAATCAGTCACCCTTCTCGACACACTACACAAATCTTTTTCTTTTCTTTTTTTTTTTTTTTGAATTTCATTGCGTTTTACCTCTCTTGAAATAATAAAGCATAATATGCCAAAAAAGTTGTATTTTCTTCCATCTTCAACATTAAAATGGCTACACAAAAATTCACCAATTTTGATTTTTTAAATGCATGCTGATATGACAGCTGTCACAACACAATCTAACAAAATTGTTTCAAATGAAGTTAAAGACTACTAAATGCTACCCTGTAGGAAAAAACAAACTTTTTCCCCAACCCAGTATTTCTCTACACATGGAAAAAAATCTTTTGTCTATACTCTCCAAATAAAAGAAGAAAAACAAACCCTGTAATAATTGTATAGAAGCTGAAGATCTCATTTTCAAACGTGCATCTATTACACCACAAAGTCATCATCTCTCGCAGTCTTTATGACGTCACATAGATACAAGAAACTGCTGATTTCAAAGTTATTTCCAAGTTACTTAATTATTCTAACAGCATACATAAAGAATCACATGGAATACAGTCAAAATGAATGAAAGATTTAACTGTTAGACTCAAAAACACAAAACCCTAGAAGAAAACATAGACACTAAAATCTCAAACATCTCTTGAGCAATATTTTTTCTCATACATTGCCTCCGGCAAGGGACACAAAAGAAAAAATAAAAAAATGGGACTACATCAAACTGAACAGTTTTAGCAAAGCAAAGGAAACCATCAACAAAATGAAAAAACCCACTGAATGGGAGAAAATATTCACCAATGACACATGTGATAAGGGGCTAATATCCAAAATTTATAAGAAACTTATACAACTCAACACCAAAAAGAACAATCTAATTAAAAAATGGGCAGAGGATCTGAATAGACCTTTCCAAAGAAGACATACGGTTGGCCAAAAGACATATAAAAGATGCTCAGTGTCACTAATTATCAGAGAAATGCAAATTAAAACCACAATGAGATATCACCTCACACCTGCCAGAACGGCTATCATCAATAAATCAAAAAACAACAAGTGCTGGTGAGGATGTGGAGAAAAGGGAACCCTAGTGCACTGTTGGTGGGAATGCAGACTGGTGCAGCCACTGTGGAAAGCAGAATGGAGGGTCCTCAAAAAATTAAAAATGTAACTGCCTTTTGACCCAGCAATTCTACTTCTGGGAATATATCCTAAGAAACCTAAAACACTAATTTGAAAGAACATAAGCACCCCTATGTTCACTGCTTTATTTACAATCGCCAAGATATGGAAGCAGCCCAAGTGCCAATCAGTAGATGGGTGGATAAAGAAGCTGTGGTACATTTACAAATGGAATATTAAACAGCTGTATTTTAAAAAAAAAAAGTAAATCTTACCCTTTGTGACAACATGCATAGACCTGGAGAGTATTATGCTAAGTGAAATAAGCCAGTCAGGGAAAGACAAGTACAGTATGATTTCACCTATATGTGAAATCTAATGAACAGAATAAACTAACAAACAAAAAAGAAACAGACGTATAGATAGCAAACAGACTGACAGCTGTCAGAGGGGAGGGGGGTTGGGAGGCTGGGTTAAAAAGGGGAAGAGGTTAAGCAAAAAAACCCAAAAAAACCCTCACAGAAAAAGACAACAGTATGGTGATTGCCAGAGGGAAAGGTGGGTAGAGGGAGGTAGAAGAGGACACTGGCTGGGGGAATAAATGGAGATGCAAGGAGACTTGATTTGGGATGGTGAACACACAATACAATATGCAGATAATGTATTATAGATTGTACACCTAAAACCTATATAATTTTATTAACCAATGTTACCCCA